TGTATTTACAATTTCCTATTAATTCTGAACAGTTGCTGCGAAACTAAATGAAATAAGAAAATATAAATGTATTACAAATTGTAACAAAAATGTACAATGAATCCTCTCAAACCAGCCGTCTCCTGTGAGGGAACCTCTTATTAAGGAATACTCAATCAATTAGATATTCTCACAGAAATAACTACTCGAAAGGCAAATAAAATTGTATAAAAAGGGAGCAAGGAAAAGTGGAATGTCCCTCCCTTTCTGCCACACACAGATTTAGATTTTGAAGATTTTCCATGTCCAAATTATGTTATTATATTTTTTTAAACTATAGCTTTTGATGACTGGTTTTTGATGCTTCACTGTACATTAAAGCTATACCTTACCATTGACAAAAGTCGTGTAAAATTCCGTGGACATGTTATATTTTGATTGTCACATGCATCACACGATGTGCAACTGCCTTGGAAATAAACGATTTCGCCAACCACATCGTCCAACCGCAAATCGTGGTCAACACCAAAATATTTCTCACTCAAATCCCATATTTTTTCACCATTGTAAAGTTCGCATATGGTCACAGCCGGAAATGAGGTATTCCAATTTAAGCTGGTAATAGAAATAAATGAAATTTATTCATTGGGATTTTCCACACACACATACATATGTACTTACAACAGAGTATCCAAATTAAAGGAGATTTTTGTTGTTTGAAAATTATTCAATAATCCGGTGCTGATATTCAAATACATTGGCATTGCAATTCCCACAAATGTTATATAGAAAACACTAAATTCCAGAGTTAGTAAATATTTTTTTTTTATTTTTATAGGATTTTTCTTACATTTTTGGTACAATTTTTAGTTTTTCCTTCCAGGACATTTTCCGCCAGCGTTCGCTCAACAAATGTTTTAATTGATTTCCACAACTGTTTTTTGGTATCCATGTTTTGGTTTTCAGTTATTGTCCAAAAAATGTACATACAAATGTCAACGAACCGCTTACCACAACAAAATCGTTATTAGGCCAGGAACACGAAAACACAATAATGAGAAATTTAGGGAAATTACAGATTAGCCAGTAGTAAAAGGAGCTATACAAATTGTAATTAGTATTTTACACGCATGTTTTATGATTTATATTAGGAATAAATTATTTCAGTATTTGTATGGTTTAATTTGGCGAGAGAAATGGGAAATTTGTTTAGTATTTTTTGTAATAAAAAGTTGAACCAATATTCAGTTCGATTGGACTTACCAGAAGTATTTCATTTATAAAACATTTATACTATTTCAAAGCAAAATATCAACATTTATAGAAATATAAGTATAATTGGACGCCATATAAAGAAGATCGACAATAAATGTTCCAGGGAAGTAAACAAATATCTTGGGCGCCATTAAATATAGGATTAGAAACATTAACCAACACTCTCGGGTATGTAAAGTTTGGTTGACATTTAAAAATGGGTCAGGATGCAGTAATTGGGCGCCATTTAAATACAGGGTGAGATGAAAAAACTTCAACCAACTTCAGACTGCTGTCATTTTTTAGCCACTCTTCCGACAACTGTAAAAAATTATTCCAGTGACATCTCATTTATTATTTACAAGCGTACAAAGGCATTTTGGTGAGAATTTTCCTGAAAAAAAGTTATTCGTGATGGAATTCAAGCGTGATAGTGTGATTTCTTTATATTTGGCTGGAGAACCACTATCGTGGCTATCGTTAGAGCACTCCAGAGGTTAAATGTGAATAAATATTTTGTGTCTCGTACCATCGCTCGTTACTGTCATACTGGTAGCGTAGACCGATGTCAAGGAAGTGGACGAAAGAAAACAGCAACAACAGCAGAAATGGTTCGAAAAGTAAAGAAGTGAAACCCGTGTCTCAGTGGCCATAAAATCGCTCGTGAGCTGAACATATTGCAATATTCCATTCGGCACATATTGAAAAATGAGCTCGTGGTAAAGCCATTGAAATTCCAAAAAAAGTGCAAGAATTTACACCACAACAGAAAGATAATTGACTCAAAAAAGCTAAAAAGTTGCTTCGCTTGGCCGAAAGTGGACTGCCGAAACACTCGTTGTCCAGCAGTTTGTAAACAAACAAAATGAGTGATGATCGTGTTTAATTGCCAAAAAGGTCAGCTGAAAATGTGCACCATGTCAGATGGCCACCAGAATTCAAGCGCCGGCCATGGTGATGGTGTGGGCCGTCATAACAGCCGATGGTCACTCTCCGCTCGTATTAATCGACCATGGCATCAGAATAAATGGTGAATATTATCGTGAACATATTCTGGAGGGTTAATTAAAGTCTTGGGCACGCAAACATTTTGGCCGCAGACATTCCAACAGGACTCAACACCATCGCACCATCGCAAAATGATGTTCCTAGCTTAATTTCCAGCGCACAATTGCCACCGAAATTTCCGGATATCAATCCTTTGGACTATTGTGTCTGGAATATTTTGGAAAGCAAGGTTGGCACTAAAAAATACCAAAGTGTCGATTACCTCAAGCAAGCACTTCGCCGGGAATGGGCCAAAATACCGCAGAGCCAAAGGTGACCAATTCGAACAAATCTAAACTTATTCTAAAATTTGATGCTATTTCCGACATTTTTTGCTTTCATTCAATAAAATTAAAAAAAGGAAAAGTTATGGAGTTTGGGTTTGTTGCAGTGTTTTTTATCTCACTCTGTATATAGTTGTATAGTTTTTTACAAAATAGAAAGTTGAACCAATATTAAGTTCGATTGGGCGAAGCATTCTGCAAAAGGCGGAAATATTCAATTTAGAATATGAATTAGAAACATTGACCTTCACTTTCGGGTATGTAAAGATTAGTTGGAAAAATTGGGATTCATTTAAAAATGGGTCTAGACCAGAACAGATCTTTCGTTTCAAAAAATATTTAGATGTGTGAAATTTGAGGGGAGTTGGGTGCTTATTTCGCTTTCTTTGAGCGTTTATTTTAAATCTTGAACCCAATGTGTGGGAGGTACCAGAAGAAACTCTCCGATCTGTGCCATCTTTATAACAGATCTTGTGTTGATGGAAATATTGAGATATACCAAGTCTGAATGGAATCGCATGTTAATTTCGCGTTTTATGAGTTTCATGAACACTCAAATTTTTGAGTGCAGTAAACCGATATATCCCATTTTCACACCAGACTTGGGTTAATAAAAATACTGTGATGTGTGTAATTTGAAGAAAACCAGATTCTTATTTCGGATTTTATGATCGTTTTGTCCTTTTTGTCATAGTCCTATATAGACTTATTTTTGAAGTTTCCCATTCCCTGACAAATCAAATAATTTATAGACCTACTCATGAAGTAAATACTAGTGAGGTGTAGTTGACAGTCAATTTAATATGTAGTGTTACCCCAAATTAATAATGGAGAATGAACACGAGCCAATGACTATTTCTCTCTATTGTATTAAACATGTGGATGTGTTGATTTCATAGTAACACGTGAATTTTCATTGTGTCTCATTAAGGCCGTAAAATCAAAGGGACTTTTGTAAAAAAGGGTTTTACGTTTTGTGAATATTGTCTATTGCTCTCTCTCTCTCTCTCTCCGAAATAGTTTGAACATAAATGTCCATTGTGTTATTCTCTGAGAAGGTTCGAAGGTGTATTTGTTACAAAAACAGCTAACACTTGTATTGACATTCTTTTTTAATTAGTACTGTTTTAGCAATTATTTGCCGTATTTTTGGACAATTGCCAATTTTTAATGACTACCTTAAGAATATATATATTAAGAGTATAGTACTTTTGTATTCTTCTTTAACAAAGTAAGTGTATTTTTTTGTGTAAACCATTCTAGTAAAACTAGAAAATAAAGGTACCTTAGTTTGTCTTTCTTTAATATTAAGTTCGGACGTGGGTGAACTATGTCCATATCTTTTGGAACTTTTCTCCTACAATACAACCAGTCAACACAGAAATGTACGAAGTTGGATAAATACTTTTATGTAATAACTCATACAAGAATTAAAATAAAATATTTTGCTGGGAGTTTTGTCGATAAAGTAACTTTTAATATGGCCGTATACTGTCATCTGCTTTGATCCAGAAATACAAGAATGTATAAAATTTTAATACGATAATCGAATTTACTTTTATACCCTACAACACTATGTGTTGGGGGTATCATAAGTTTGATTGGGCCAAAATTTATGTAACACCTCGAAATATTGGTTTCCCACATAGGAAAGTATATATCTCGCCGAGATGAGTCGATCTAGCTATATATGTCCGTCCGTCTGTTTATGTTAAATTGTAATCAAGCTACAGGTCTCAATTATGAACAGATCCTCATGAAATTGAAAATATAGGTGGGTTAAGGTCAGAATAGAAACCAATTTTTTTGATTTTAATGTTGCTCTACAGGCCACAATTATGGCCCAATCGGCGAGAAAATTTACTTCGAGTTAGGGTTTAGGACTGGGCAGAAACCTGGGCGGCCATCGGACAAAAATTAGCGGCTAAAATAGACCCTCACTTTTATTTGAGAAAATAGAAAAATTTCCACTAAACCGCGAATATTTTTAATCCCAGCCAAATCACAAATTCATTAAAATATCACTTCTGACCATCACAGTGATGCTAATAGCCAAGAAATCGGATATATACCAAAATAGGTACAATATATGTGTAAAAGAATTGATCTTATTTATTCTGCTTATAAATCAAGAACCGCTGGGCCGATTTTCACAATTTCCATCAATTTGAAATGGTCTCTTGGTATAAAAGTATAAAATCTAAGAAAATCGCGGAAAAATATACCAATAAAGAATTGAACATCTTTTGTTTATTTTTTTCAATTTTTGTCATATTTTTAATCGCATGCGATATTTTCAATTTGACTTACATTTTTGAATTTTAAATTTTCTACATTTTTGAGGGTATTATATCGCAATTATCGTCCGATCGATTTCAAAAACGAAATCTTCCAAAATGGATTTGGATATAAGGGGACTTCGAACATATTGTAGTGTTCACATGGTCGGCCCCGTGGTGTTATGATATCGTAAAAATTTCAGGTTTTCGGAACAGATCAATACTTTTTATTTTTACATTTTTACGTTTTTTATACTTTTTTAACATATAATTCCTTGGAAGGTTCGTCTTATCATATCCTTGTTATTCACTCGTTTTGCAGAGCAATAGTATGCGTTATCCATGGCATAAAGAAGCTAACATTCGTATAAATATCAGGCAAAGCTGCTGTCGCGCTACAAGCATTACTTCCCGCTGCCACTATTCCATATTGTATGAAACGTTTTTGACCTTTGTAGGGTCCAAAATGCATTAATGGTCCACCACTATCTGCGGCGCATACGTTATGACCCCCTATATCCTTTCCGAAACATAAGTGCCGAGTATCGCTGAGTTGAATAGAATATTTATCGCTGCATGTCGAAAGAGGTAGTTGTTTCACTGGTGTTTTCAGAAGAATATCCGATTTATTGCCTGTGGTAAAAATGGGAATATTAATTTTTAGAAATTTACCAAAAAAAAAAAAAAAAAAAACAAAACTCTTTTACTAACCATTTTTGGTGTGACCCCAGCCGGCTATGAAAAAATTCTCTTCAGTCGGTGTATACAAATGAATGGGCAAGCATATAGGTTTAATGTGCTCTGTGAAATAAAAAATATTTATTTATTAACTGAAAAACAAGTAAAAAAGCTGTAAGTTCGACGGAGCCGAACTTTGAATACCCTCCACCATTTGTAACGAATTTGCCAATTCTCAAAAAAAAAAAAAAAATAAAATAAAATAAAATCCGTTAAAAATTCTGTTAAAATCTTTAAAATACCGAATGTAGCTGTTACATTAGGGTCTATACGACGAAATGGACCTGCATAGGTAACTTTTGTCATAAGCCATTACAATATTCAAATGCGAAACTTAACAAAAAAAGGTGAATAGTGTAGCTAAAATCATTATAATACCGAATATCGGCAGGTAACGTTAGATGGGGGCTATACAAAGACGTGGACCTGCACAGACAATTTTCTGTCTTTGGATGTAGTAACTTCAAATACCAAATTTGAAACAATTCCGGTGAATAATATCGCTAAAATTATCAAAATACCGAATATCGGGAGGTACCGTTATATGGGGGCTATACGAAGACGTGGAGCTGCACAGACAATTTTCTGTCATAGGCCGTAGTATCCATTACGAACTTCAAGTACCAAATTTGAAACAATTCCGATGAATTTTGTTGCAAAAATCATCAAAACACCGAATATCGGGAGGATACCGAATATCGGGAGGTACGTGGATGTATGTAGACAATTATCTTTCAGGGGGTAAAGTACTCACAAGGGACGCCTTGTGCGGATTCCATCCGTTGAATATCGGCGGTTACAGTTAAATGGGGGCTATACGATATCGAGGTCCTATATAGACAATTCTCTTCCAGGGGGAAAAGTTCTCAGAAGAAACTCCTTGTGCGGATTTTTAGGCAATTCCATTGAAAAATTTGACTACAATACCGAATATCGGGATTAACCATTATATGGGGGATATACGATATCCTGGACTTATATAGGCAATTCTCTTCGAGGGGCTAATGTACTCAAAAGGAACTTCTTTTGTGAATTTTAAGACAATTCCATTGAAAATTTTCACTATCATCAAAATGCCGAATATTGGGGGTACCGTTTTATGGGGAATATCCGATATTGTAGACCTAGACAGACAATTATCTTCTAGGGGGTAATGTACCCACAAAAAAAACTCCTTGTGTAGAAGTTCAGATAATTCTATTTAAGAATGTGGCTAAAATCATTAAAATACCGAATATCGGGGTGTACCGTTGTATGGGGACCATACGATATCATGGACCTGTATATATAACTCTCTTCCAGGGGTAAAGTACTCAGAAAGAACTCATTGTGTGAATTTTCAATGGAAATTGATTTGGCTACAATCATCAAAATACCGAATATCGGGGGTACTGTTGCATGGAGGCTGTATGATATAGTGGACCGATATAGCCCATATAGCGTGATGACAACAAATGGACAGACGGACGGACAGGACTAAGTCGTCGACGCTGATCCAGAAAATATATACTTTCTTAGGTCTAAAATTATTTTTACGATGAGTTGCAAACGGAATGACGAACTTAAAATAAACTCCATACTATGAGGGAATAACAAGTTAAAAAGCAGTAAGTTCGGCAGGGCCGAACTTTGAATACCCTCCGTCATTTGGAACGAATTTGGAAATAAAATCCTTAAAAAAATTCTGTTAAAATTTTAAAAATACCGAATAAAGCCGTTATATTGGTATCTATACGACGTGGACCCACACAGGCATTGTTTGTCATAAGTCAGTACCAAATTCAAATTCGGAACTTGAAATAAACGGTCAATAATGTAGCTAAAATCATCAAAATATCGTATATAGGGAGGTACCGTTATATCGGAGCTGTGCGAAGACCTGGACCAGCATAGAAGCATCCATCCAGCATAGGCTGAAGCATCCATTACGAACTTCAAATACGAAATTTCAAACAATTTCTGTGAGTATTGTACCTAAACTAGTCAAAATACCGAATATAGGGAGGTACTGGTATATGGGACCTATACGAAGACCTGGACCTGCATAGACAATTTTCTGTCACAGATTGTAGTTCCCATTACAAACTCTAAATACGTAATTTGAAACAATTTTGGTGAATAATGTCGCTAAAATCATCAAAATACCGAATATCGGGAGGTACCGTTGTATGGGGACCATACCTATATAGATAATTGTCTTCCAGGGGGTAAAGCTCGCAGAAATAACTCCTTGTGTGAATTTTCACAGAATTCCATTGATTTGACTACAATCATCAAAATACCGAATATCGAGGGTACTGTTGCATGGGGGCTATACGATATCGTGGACCGATACAGACCATCTTCGAACTTGACCTGCCTGCAGACAAATTTGTGCAAAATTTAGGTTCCTATCTTTTGTTGTTGTTGTTTTAGCAGTAGTACATACAAGTGTTTGCGTTCTGCTAATCTGGTTCCAGCTCCAGGTTTAGAAATTCGGTTACTTTAATGGGCTGTAGCCAGAGATCACCTATGGAACCTCCAGGAGGTTCCTATCTTAATTTATTTTGACTCTAAGGTGATGACAACAAATGGACAGACGAACAGACAGTATTAAGTCGTCGACGCTGATCCAGAAAATATATACTCTTTTAGGTCTAAAATTATTATTTCGATGAGTTAAAAAGGGAATGACGAACTTAATATAAGCTCCATGCCATAAGGGAATAAAAAATAAATAAATGTTTACCTTCTTATTGAATATTCACATGGTATTCGAAGTCCAATACTTACCTTTAAATTGAACCTTGCGATCCAATTTGATCAGGGCAATATCGTTGATATGATCCTCACTACTATACTCGGGATGTGAAATGATATTTTCTATACGAAAATCTTCCACCGGTGGATTGCATTTGAAAATGGCGCCCAATTGCAGGCAGTCGTAAACGGTTGAAATGTCATGTTCGCCAAGTCGTACACCAATGCTGTGAAATGAATAACCAATTACATTTGATTAAGGAATTTTCCACAAACAACCTTGATTTAAGGTCTGAATAAACTTCTCCAATTTTTATATTGCTTGCACTTTTTACTTACATCGGATCCATCGTATTCACACAATGGGCTGCTGTCAATACAAAGCGATTCGTTATCAATGAGCCAGCACAACCAAATTCTTCACCTGCTGGTCCATCATATTTCAATAGGGCCATCCATGGAAATTCAGTCAACCTTGTAATATTGTCATCGGCGATGCCAGTGCCGGTGCTACACTCTTCTTGATATAGAATATCAAAACCTGCATAAATAAGATATGGCAAAAGTCTAGGTAGTTACAGGGTATGTATTGAAGTTTTTGCTGAAATTACCTGCGGTGTTCAATAGGCCTTGATAATCTGGTATTGGATTTAAATACAAATTTTCCGTATTTTGCATTCTTTGTTTAACTATTGCTGTTGTTGGTCGCCAGACAGTTGCAGGTTCACAACACCAATGGGACTAGAATTAAATGTTATCGTCGGGGGAGTAAATGAAATAAATTAAAATAATTAAAATAAATGATTAAATAAATAAAAATAAAATATGTAATGAAAATAAAAAACCATACACATATTTGTAATTAAATGAATTAATAAATAAAATAAAAAATAAAAAAATAAAATAAATAAATAAAATAATTAATAAATAAATAAATAAATAAAACGTTTAAATATATTGATGTTGTAATAAATAAAATAAATAAATAAAAATAAAAAAATAAATAAAATAAAATAAATAAATAAAATAATTAATAAATAAATAAATAAAACGTTTAAATATATTGATGTTGCAAAATGGTCAGGATTCATCCCTTTATTGTTGTTTTTATAAAAACAACATTGGTTTATTTATTTATATATATTTTTTTGGTCATTCTTGGCTACAGGCTTTTTAAAAATTAAAAATTTGTTAATTTCTCCTTCGATACGAGCTTAATGTTTAATATATGGTGTGGATGATGGACCTTGTACGTCCTTTGGATAGCAGTATTTAGTATACCCTCAGGCAGATGGATAGAGAGGATATATACAGGGTGATATAAAAAAAAACTTTTTTTGCATTTTTTTAAATAATTTTTTAAGTTTAAAATAAGCAATAAATGTCGGAAATAACATCAAATTTTAGAACAAGTTTAGATTTGTTCGAATTGGTCACCTTTGGCACGAATTATGGCCTTCAAACAGCCAATGAAACCGTCACACGCTTCCCCAATGTTGCTCTGCGGTATTTTGGCCAATTCCCGGCGAAGCGCTTGCTTGAGGTGATTGACACTTGGTTATTTTTTAGTGCCAACCTTGCTTTCCAAAATACTCCAGACACAATAGTCCAGCGGATTGGTATCCGGAGATTTTGGTGGCCATTGTGCGCTGGAAATGAAGCGAGGAACCTCATTTTGTAACCATTCTTGGGTGATGCGTGCTGAGTGCGATGGTGCTGAGTCCGGCCAAAATCTTTGCGTGCCCAAGGCTTTAATATACCCTCCAGAATATTTTCGCGATAATATTCGTCATTTATTCTGATGCTACGGTCGGCCCACATCACCACCATGGCCGGCGCTTGAGTTTTGGTGGCCAACCGAAGGTGCACATTTTCTTTCAGCTGCCCTCTTTGGCAGGTAAACTCGATTATTTTGTTTTGTTTACAAACTTCTGGACAGCGAATGTTTTCTCATCGGAGGTAACCGAATTCCGCAGTTCACAACTTTCGACCAAGCGAAGCAACTCTTTAACTCTTTTGAGTCTATTTTCTTTCTGTTGCGGCGTAAGTTCTTGCACTTTGGCTTTACCCCGAGCTCATTTTTAAATATATGCCGAATGGAATATTGTGATATGTTCAGCTCAGGAGCCATTTATTCGGCCATTGCGATGTGGGTTTCGATCAAGTCGCTTCTTTACTTTTCGAACCATTTCTGCTGTTTTCTTCCGTCCACTTCCTTGACGTCGGACTACGCTACCCCAGTATCACGGTAACGAGCGATGGTACGAGACACAAAAGATTTATTCATATTTAAATGCTGGGGTGCTCTAACGATAGCCACTTGTGGTTTTCCAGCCAAATATGAAGAAATCTCACTATCACGCTTGAATTCCATCACGAATAAAAAATGTTCTGGAAAATTCTCACCAAAATGCTTTTGTACGCTTGTAAACAATATAATGAGCTGTCACTGGAATAATTTAAACAGCTGTCGGACAAGTGGCTTAGAAACGACAGTAATCTGTATAACCATACCCCAAGAAATATCCCATACATAGTCGACACAATCACTCCCATTTTATCTGAGTTATTATTTTTTTTTCGTCTTCATCCTCATTGAAATACTTACTGTTTTATCCTGATCCCTGGTACAGTCTGCACGAAGTAGATATTCTCGAAAAACCGTCAATGCATCGTAGTTCTTATTCCATTCGTGTAGAATATAGCACTCCGTATAAGGAACACAAAGTCCACTTTCATTGTGCGGTGTAAGACAGTGTCTATATTCTTCTTCTGTTCAATAAAAAATTCGATTTTTAGTTCCAATTTAATCACAATTAAAAAAACGCAAATTAACTTACGAGCCTTAACCATAAGAAAAATAACTACTAAAATAAAATATCTAGTGAAACCCATTTGACGACTGTGAGTTGAAACTACTAAATCCAATTGAGCAGAGCTTTTGATGAAAACTGTCTTTTATTATAATCTGTATCTGTCTGTATAATAGGTGGTGGGTTGATGTTACCCTCGTTAATTTCAAAACGTCACAGATTTGTGTGGAAATATTGTGTCTATATACATAAGATATGGAAAGTGTTTTTCCATGCTTTAATTGGGCTTTATTAAGGGAATTTAGTTGTTTAAACAGTGGCAGCTTCTTAATTGTTCTGAAAAACTACGTTGCTTATGTTTTTCATAATAGGCTTGACTATTTTCAGTGTTTTTCTTTTTTTAGAAAAACCAAATTTTTTTTGTCAACAGGTTCTGGTAAGACTTAAAATTTATTGATTTAAAGTCCTCAAAAATAAAATCGGCGAAATTTTCAATTTTTGGAAATAAAAAAATTATTCAAACAATAATAATCCACGATCAGGCCTTTAAAAAAAACCTTTTTTTTGGGGCTGCTCACTGACAATATTTTAACAAAATCAAATCAAAATCAAAATTTGGGCATAAAGTCTTTAAAAGAAAATTCTTGAAAAATGTACGATTTATTGCCAGGAAAGATTATTTTCGGCGGGAAGTTATTAAAGGATATTTTGAAAAAAGGCACACTTTTTATAGAAGGGAAGTCCGTGATAGACATTTTTGAAAATCCACAGAAAATCCTATTAATATCCTTGAAATATATATTTTAAATATAACGAACCAAGGTTTATATAACTTGCAAAATCGTAAAAATATTAAAAACTAATAAAAATCATTACGTTCAATACACTACCCTATTAAGCAAAGCTACTTTTTAAAATGAAGAGAATAAAGTAAAATAAGCATAGGGTGTTCCACTTTTACCAATGAGATCGGTTGCAGAATACATTTAAAGTTTTCAAAATACAATAAATTGGGTGAAACCGTTGTATGGGAGTCATATCAAAAACAATTTTCTACTACAAGGGTCTTAAGTACAAAATTCAAAACAAGGAACAGTGGGGTAAGATTTTCAAAAACGGAGATGAATTCAGGAAAGTATTCTTTCGCTTTGAAATTTTGTTCAGACATTTATATTACCCCTAGTATAGGATAGATCGATCCAGGTTTCGGTGTGGCAAAAAAAAAAGGAACAGCAACAAAGTCAAACGCCATAATTTTTACATTTTTTTATACCCTCCACCATACATAGTATGGAGGGTATATTAAGTGCGTCATTCCGTTTGTAACTCATCGAAATAATAATTTTAGACCCAATATAAATACTTTATATATTCTTGATCAGTGTAAAATTTAGCACTGTCCGTCCGCCCGTCCGTCCGTCTGTTGTAATCACGCTACAGTTAAAACGAATAAATATAGGAAGCTAAAATTTTGCACAGATCTGTCTTTTGTCTGCAGGCAGGTCAAGTTCGAAGATGGACTATATCGGTTCACGATATCGTATAGCTCCCATATAACGTTACCCCTCAATATTCGGTATTTTGATGATTTTAGATACAATTTTCAACAGAGTCTGAATTCTACACAAGGAGTTCTTTGTGAACACTTTACCCCCTGAAAGAGAATTGTCTATATAGTTCCACGATATCGTATAGCCCCCATATAACGATACCCTACCCCCCGCCCCCCGATATTCGGTATTTTGATGATTTAAGCCACATATTACAATGGAATTGTCTAATATTCCACACAAGGAGTTCCTTGTAGGTATTTTACCCCCTGCACGATAATTGTCTATAGTGGTCCACGATATCGTATAGTCCCCATATAACGGTACCCCCGATATTCGGTATTTTGATGATTTTCACCACATTTCACAATGGGATTGTCTGAAAGAAGTTCATTGTGAGTACTTTACCCTCGAATGCAGATTTGTCTATGTAGGTCCACATTATTGTATACCTTACGATATTCGGTATTTTGAAGATTTTAACAGAATTTTTAATGGATTTCATTTTTTTTTTTGAAAATTTCCTAATTCGGTGAGGTGACTGACACTTTGGTATTTTTTAGTGCCATCCTTACTTTCCAAAATACTCCAGACAAATAGTCCAACGGATTGGTATCCGAAGGTTTTGGTGGGCATTGTGTGCTTGAAATGAAGCGAGGAACCTCATATTGTAACCATTTCCTCAGCAGAGAGAACCAAAACCGACAGTTCACCACTTTCGGCCAAGCGAAGCAACTCTTTAGCTCTTTTGAGTCCATTTTCTTTCTATTTTTGATGCAGTGTAAGTTCTTGCACTTTTTGTTATTTCAATGCTTTTGAATGGAATATTGCGATTGTTCAGCTCACGAGCCATTTTTTGGCCACTGCGACGCGGGTTTCGATCAAATCCCTTCTTTACTTTCCGAACCATTTCTGCTGATGTTGCTGTTTTCTTCCATTCACTTCCTTGACATCGGGCTACGCTACCAGTATCACGGTAACGAGCGATGCAGTGTATGATTGGAATGTGGAGGAAGTTCTCGAAAAGTACTAAATGGTACTAAATTTGGTACAGTTTCGATTTGGCTAAACCGGTAGAACTGGAATTCTGAAAATTAGAGGAATGTAGGAAAAAAAACTTAAAAAAAAGGAAATTGGGCTCGTGGCTTTTTCGACAATTTTATTGCAAGGACCTCCGAAACCCGGTTTCTTATTAAGAAACGTGAATTTTTGAAGGTCTTCTGGGTAAACTATTTCAATTTTTTATAATTCAGAAACATAGATTTGGGATAGATGGAATAGAATTTGGCACCTGCGACCGAATTGAGTCTAGAAGCTAGCATGCCAAGTATGGTGAAGATCGGTTCAGATATAGATATAGCTCCCATATATGTTGTTCATCCGATTTGTTGTATTTGTTACCCACAGCCGTAATATACACTCCGTAACAACGATATTCAGGGAAATATATCAATTACAGCTCAGAAATATCTTTGTCAAATTTTGTGAAGATCGTTTCAGATTTGGATATAGCGCCCATATATATCTTCATCTGATTTCAAATTAATTTTCAACCAAATGGGCAATACAAGTCCGAATTTAAAAGATACAAAATGCTTCGGCATATTTAGTCATTTGAACTTTAAATAATAATTATAATCATAGCGTGTATGATTGAATTCTCCCATAAAAACTTTTAATTGTTATGTGGAGCTCTACTAAATTAGCAAAGTGGTGCAGGGTATCATAAAGTCGACCCGCCCGACTTTAGGACTTTCTTTACTGGTTTTATATAAATATATTTATTAAGGACATTTTTGCCAAAAACTGTAGACTTAAAAAAATAGATTAGATATATGGCCATAGGCTGAGGGTATATATAGCCCGTCAAACCAAAAGAATTTTTCTAACTTGTTTTAATTTTATTTCATTTAAATTTATTTTCTTACATTTAATACCTTAAAATATTCGATCATCAATAGAAACTATATTAATCCAAATTTTACACAACAATATTGTGCGTTATCCATGGCATAAAATTGCTAACGTTCGTATAGACACCGGGTAAAGTTGTTTTCAGGATACAAGCATAACGACCCGATGCCACCACTCCGTACTGTACGAAACGTCTTTTGCCATTGTAGGGGACAAATTGTATCAATGGACCACCACTATCACCACCGCATGTATCACGACCGAGTACATCGTCGCCGGCACACAAGTGTCGAGTTAAGCTGAGTTCAATCGAATACTCCTGACTGCATGTCGATACGGGTAACTGTTTGACGGGGGCTTTGAGTAGAACATTTGATGTACTGCCTGTAGGATATGTAAAAATTAATTCAATATTTTATAATATTTCAGAACCATGTTTTTAATATTTCGTACTTACCTTTCTCAGTGAATCCCCAACCAGCTATTAGAAAATGATCTTCAGGCTGAGTTTGAACAGAATTTGAAAAGATGGGCAGACATATGGGTTCAATGTGTTCTGTGGGAAAATGTAAAAGTGTAAATAAAATATTGAGTTATAAATTCAAATTCTCACAAATTCTCACTTACTCTTGAATTCAACATTTCGATCCAACTTGATGAGGGCAATATCATTGACATGTTTACTTTTGCTATATTCGGGATGTGCTACAATATTTTCTATACCAATATCTTCCACTGGTGGATTGCATCTCCACCTTGGACCCAATTTTATACAATCCTCTTCTGTTGATGTATCATATTCGCCCAGGCGTACACCAATACTGTGAAAGAAAATATTCGAGAAACAAGTGAGGATGTTATACGTGGACATTTTCGACAAATGAAATAACGTATTCAGGATAGAGCGGTCTCGGTAGGACCTCAATTGTCAAGTTTAATCTAATTTGGTGAAAAACTGTTGCAGAACCATCAAAATACCGAAAATACCGGAGGCGCCGTTATATGGCGGATAAACCAATTAGTGGACCCGACTTGAATAATTTTTGTAAAGGGAGAACAGATCTACCGAGAACCCCAATTGTCAAGTTTCATCTATATTGGTTGGAAATTATGGCAGAAACCTTCAAAATACCGAAAAAGGGAATCGAACATTTTTGCAAGGAGAGAACAGACCTACAGAGAATACCAAAAGTCAAGTTTCAGCTGATTTGGTTGGAAATTATGGCAGACGGCTTCAAAATACCGAAAATCGGGAAGTACCGTTATAGGGGGGCTACACCAATTAGTGAGCCTGTATCGAACATTTTTCGCAAGCAGGGAACGGACCATTCATGAACCCCAAATGTTAAGTTTTATCTAATTTGGTTGGAAATTGTGGTAGAAACCTTTGAAATACCAAAAATCGGGGAGTACTGTTATAGGGGAGCCATACCAATTGGTGAATCTGTGACGGATATTTTTTGCATAGACAGAACAGACCTACCAGGAACCCCAATTCTAAAGTTTCAGCTGATTTGGTTGGAAATTTTTGAAGAAAACCTTCAAAATCAGAAAATCAGAAGGCACCGTTATATAGGGGCTATACCAATTATGGGACCTGAATTAAAAATTTTTTGCAGAGAAGGAACAAAACTTTCAAGAACCCCAAGTGTCAAGTTTCAGATGATTCGGTTGGAAATTATGGCAGAAAATTTCAAAATGCCCATCATCAGGAGGTAATGTTATATGGGGGCTATACCAATTAGTGGATCTGGATTGAACATCCTTTGCAAGGAGAGAACAGAGCTACCGAGAACCCCAATTGTCAAGTTTCATCTAATTTGTTTGGAAACTGTGGCAGAAACCTTCAAAATACCGAAAATCGGGAGGTACCGTTACATGGGAGACCAATATATTTTTTCAATACCAATTAGCCTGTATATAATAGAAAACTTTGTGCCAAATTTCAAAGCTCAATATTAAATATTGTGGACTTTATTGTGATTTCAACAGAGAGATGTATAGACAGATGGTCGATTAATACGAGCGAAGAGCGACCATCGCTGTTATTGCGGCCCACACCATCACCATGGCTGGTGGCTAACCGAAGGTGCACATTTTTTGCTGACATCTTTGGAAAGTAAACATGATCATTTTGTTTGTTTACAAACAGCTCGACAACGAATGTTTTCTCATCGGAGAAAACCAAATTCGGCAGTTCACCACTTTCGGCCAAGCGAAGCAACTTTTTAGCTCTTTTGAATCTATTTTTTTTTATGTTGCGGTGTAAGTTGTTGCACTTTTTGGAATTTCAATGGCTTTACCCCGAGCTCCTTTTTCAATATTTTCCGAATGGAATATTGCGATATGTTCAGATCACGAGCCATTTCTCGGCCACTGAAACGCGGGTTTCGATCAAGTCGCTTCTTTACTTTTCAAACCATTTCTGCTGATATTGCTGTTTTCTTATGTCCACTTCCTGGACATCGGACTACGCTATCAGTATCACGGTAACGAGCGATGGTACGAGACACAAAAGATTTATTCACATTTTAATGCTGGAGTGTTCTAACGATAGCCACTTGTGGTTTTCCAGCCAAATATAAAGAAATTACACTATCATGCTTCAATTCCATCACGAATAAATTTTTTCTGGAAAATTCTCACCAAAATGCTTTTGTATGCTTGTAAACAATATAATAAGCTGTCACTGGAATAATTTTAACAGCTGTCGGACGAGTGGCTTAGAAATGACAGCAGTCTGAAATTGGTTGCAGTTTTGTCATCTCATCCTTTACATTCGTGGCCAGCGCAAAATTCGAAGTCGAGTAAGCGATGTCCGTCTGTCTGTTGTAATTACGCTATCTTTGGAACCAATTGAAATATAAGGCTAAAATTTTGTACACATGTGTATTTTGCAGAAGGCAGGTTAAGTTCGTAAAAGGGCTATGTCGGTCGTATCTCAATTTCGCAATGGATACTACATCCTATGACTGAATGTTTCCTATGCAGGTCCAGTATTTTTGACAATTTTAGCGACATTTTTCATCGGAGTTGTTTAAAATTTCGTACTTGAAGTTCGTAATGGGTACTTAATCCTATAACAAAAATTCGATTATATCGCTCCTCGTTTTTATGTAACCCCCATATAGCAAAACCTCACAATTGTCGGTATTTTGATAATTTTAGGGACATTGTTCACTAGCATTGTTTCAAATTTCGCATTAGAATTTCGGAATTGGTGCTACAGCCTAAGACAATAAATTACTTATGAAGAACCACGTCTTCGTATAGGCCCCATATAAGGGGTTTAATTTGAGAGATATTTTTTAAGGAAAATTATATTTTATTATAATTTATATTTTTGAAAATTATAAAGTTCCTTCAAAATGGTGGAGAGTTTTAAAAGTTTGTCCCGGCCGAAATTAGCTGCTTCCATACTTATTTTAACATTTAATGATTATAAAATTGAAAATATTTACCCTTTGCATAGTGACGTACCTGATCTAAGTCTGATATTTGTTTTTAAAGTACGAAGCTTCGAACTATCAGATATATTTGAACAATTTAAGATGATATTTAAAGTTGCCATAAAAAAACGTTAATATGGCCAAACCTTTTTCGTCCCCATCCTATAATACCTGCTTTTGATTACTAAAGTTTTTTTATTAAAAATAATAAAATGTTCTGTTTAATTTGTCTAAACAATTTGACAGGTAGTCTGAAACGATAAACATCGTTAAGAAAAAAAACTGAAATATTAATGTCTTTATTACTTGCAAATTCTTAAAATCATTTCCATTCATTAAGAGGCCGAATGAAAAAGGTGTGCTCACTCACTCACCTTAACGATGACGCATCAAAGTAAGAAAAAAAATCCAATTTTTAGGGATTTCTTTGTGGTTCAGAAATATTCTTAAAATCGGAATTTCCAAAATACATTTTTTATATTTAGCCACTTGATATTGGCATGTTTGTTCGGAATATTTGAAATTCCAAGGTAATTTCATTAGCCGTCATTACATACGCATGCACATACATTTATGACTAAATAAACCCGGCGTTCAGGAATTAATTTCAATACTAAGACCGAACCTTAATTTACAACTAAAGCAGAAAAAAAGGTGACTCACAATGTATCTTTTATACCCTCCACCTTGCAAAGGAGGGTATATTAACTTTGTCATTCCGTTTGTAACATCCTTAAATATTCGTCTTAGACCCCATAAAGTATATATATTCATAATCAGCATAAAATTCTAAGTCGATTTAACGATGTCCGTCTGTCTGTCTGTACGTCTGTCTGTCTGTCTGTTGAAATCGCGATACAGCCCACATTATTTGACGTAGAGCTCCAAAATTTAGCAGAGCTATTTGCATTATGTCTAGGATGGTTGGTATTGAAAATGAGATATATCGGTCCACGTTCTGGTATAGTCCCCATATAACGGTACCTCCCGATATTCGGTATTTTGATGATTTATGCCACATTTTTTCACGGATTTGTCTTAAAATTGGTATTTGTAGGTCATAGCGGGTCCCTGAGCGTGTGGCAAAACATTGCATGTATAGGTCCACGTTGTGGTATAGCCCCCATATAAAGGTACCTCCCGATATTTAGTATTTTAGTTTTTTTACCACATTTTTTCCCGGATTTGTCTGAAAATCGGTATTTGTTGGTCATAATGGGTTCCAGCTCCGGTGGCGAAACATTGTAATTATAGGTCCACGTTTTGGTATAGACCCCATATAACGGTACCTCCCGATATTCGGTAATTTGATGATTTTTGCCACATTTTTTTAGGGATTTGTTCGAAAATTGGTATTTGTTGGTCATAATTGGTTCCAGCTTCGGTGGCGAAACATTGCATGCATGGGTCCATGATTTGATATAGCCCCCATATAACGGTACCTCCCGATATTCGGTATTTTGATGGTTTTTGCCACATTTTTTCACTGATTTGTCTAAAAATTGGTATTTGTGGGTCATAATGGGTTCCAGCTCCGGTGGCGAAACATTGTAATTATAGGTCCACGCTTTGGTATAGCCCCCATATAACGGTACCTCCCCATAATCGGCATTTTAATGGTTTTTGCCACATTTCTTCTAATGTTTCTTTTACCCTAAGGTGGAGGGTATTAAAAGTTTGGCCCGGCCGAACTTAATGTTTTCTTACTTGTTTTTCTTTGTTTTAATTTAACACTTACACTGGATCCACTGTGTTCACACAATGTGCTGCTGTCAGCACATAACGATTCGTTATCAATGAACCACCACAACGAAATTGATCACCCGATGGTCCACGATATTTCAACAGAGCCATCCATGGAAATTCGGCCAACATCGTGACATTGCCACCGGCAATGCGATTGCCGTTGTCTGTACCACAGCGCTGTCCATTCAGAATGTTAAAGCCTATAGAGGAAAAATATTCAGGAAAATAAGTTAGGTATGATATTCAATAGACATGAGTTGTGAGGGACATACCTTCAGCATTCAATTGACTTTGATAATCTTGCATGGGATTTAATGATAAATTATTGATACTTCCCGTACTCGGTTGAGTTGTTGCTGTTGTAGGTCTCAGAATCGTATCAGGTTCACAACACAGACGTACCTGGAAAATTAAAAAAAAAAATAAGGATTTGTTATAACATCTACCATGAAAAGGGTGAGATGAAAAAAACTGCGACCAACTCGTGCCACAAAAATTTTCAGTGACAGCTCATTATATTGTCTAAAATCGTACAAAAGGCATTTTGGTGAGAATTTTCTAGAAAAAAATTATTCGGGATGGAATTCAAGCGTGATAGTGTGATTTCTTTATATTTGGCTGGAAAACCACAAGTGGCTGTCGGTAGAGCACTCCAGCATTTAAATGTGAATAAATCTTTAGTGTCTCGTACCATCGCTCGTTACCGTGATACTGGCAGCGTAGCCCGACGTCAAGGAAGTGGACGGAAAAAACAGTAACATCAGCAGAAATGGCTCGAAATGTAAAGAAGCGACTTGATCGAAATCCGCGTTGCAGTGGCCGAAAAATTGCTCGTGAGCTGAACATATCGCAATATTCCATTCGGCAAATATTGAAAAATGAGCTCGGGGTAAAGCCATTGAAATTCCAAAAAGTGCAAGAATTTAAACCGCAACAGAAAGAAAATCGACCCAAAAGAGCTAAAGAGTTGCTTCGCTTGACTGAAAGTGGTAAACTGCCGAATTTGGTTTTCTCCGATGAGAAAACATTCGTTGTCTAGCAGTTTGTAAACAAACAAAATGATCGCGTTTACTTGCCAAAGAGGTCGGCTGAAAACCTTCGGTTGGCCACCAAAACTCAAGCCCCGGCATAGTAATGGTGTGGGCCGCCATAACAGCCGATGGTCGCTCACCGCTTATATTATTCAACGTGGCATTAGAATAAATACCGAATTAATCGCGAAAATATTAAAGCCTTGAGCACGCAAACATTTTGCAGACCTTGGACATTCCAACTCATCACCATTGTTCTCAGCACGCATCACCCAAGAATGGTTATAAAATGAGGTCCTCGCTTCATTTCCAGCACACAATGGCCACGAAAATCTCCAGATTCCTATCCGTTGGACTTTTGTGTCTGGAGTATTTTGGAAAGCAAGGTTGGCACTAAAAAAATCTAAAGTGTCGATCACCTCAAGCAAGCGCTTCTCCCGGAATGGGTCAAAATACCGCAGAGCAACATTCGGGCGTGTGTCGGTTTCATTGGCCGTTTGAAGGCCATAATTCGTGCCCAAGGTGACCAATTCGAACAAATGTAAGCTTATATCTAAAATTTGACTTCGATGCAGTTTTTGAACTCACCCTGTATATGTGTTATTTTAGTTAAGTTCCGCCCATATCAGGCTATGTTTGAGAGTACCGCCCTTTTTTTTTAAACACTTAAGACTATCTGATATTGTCAATTTTATTTAGAAACAGCTAAAAAAGCTGTTAGTTCGGCCGGGCCGAACTTTGAATACCCTCCACAATTTGGAACGAATTTGGCAATTCTCAAAAACAATAAAATCCGTTAAAATGCTGCTAAAATCTTAAAAATACCAAATGTAGCTGTTATATTAGGGTCTGGTAACATAGGTCATAAGTAACATTTGTCACAAGCCATTACAATATTCAAATGCGAAACTTAGAAAAATCGGCAATAATGTAGATAAATTCATAAAAATACCGAATATCGGGAGGTACCATTATATGGAGGCTACACGAAGACGTGGACCTGCACAGACAATTTTCTGTCTTAGGCTGTACTATCTATTACGAACTTCAAATTCCAAATTTGATACAATTCCGGTAAATAAATTCGCTAAAATCGTCAAAATACCGAATATAGGGAGGAACGTTTATATGGGGGCTATACGAAGATACTAGAGTGATTTCCACAGACGGACGGACATCGCTAAATCGACATAGAATTTTATGCTGATCATGAATATATATACTTTGTGGGGTCTAAAATGTATATTTCGAGGTGTTAGAAACGGAATGACAAACTTAATATACCCTCCATACTATGGTGGCGGGTATAAAAATATTGTATATTCCTTAATTCATAAAGCAATCGCAAAGTATATGATAATTTCGCTGATACTTCTTTCTCTCCGCAATGGTAAGAGATGTCGTCGCTATACTCACTATCGTCTCCTGCTCACTGGAACATTTTGCTTGATACAAATACTCCTGCAAACTCTGTGGCAATGTTCCATTATATTTCCTATACCATTCATAAAGAAAAGAACACCGGGTATAAGGAACACAAAGTCCATGTTCGTCGAGTGGTGTACGACAGGGCGATTCTTCAACGTCTTCTGTACAATTAATATTTTATGCTTTCCATTAAATTATGCGACGGAAATAAAATCAAAAAATTCAAACTCACGAGACTCGACTGCGATAAAAAATATAAATAAAATGAAAACTATGATGGTGTCCATCAAGAAGACTGCAGTTTATAACAGCGGAATTAAACTGAATCGAGTTTTTGATTGGGAATGGTTTTTATTGCTATTTGTGTGGTACTTGGGTAGACTTAATCTCGTCAATTAATAAACGTTGTAGATTTACGTTGTAAAAAAAAATGTCATAAAAGCGATATTCAGCCTACAGGGTGAGGTGAAATAACTGCAACCAACCAACAAACTGCTGTTATTTCTAAGTCACTTGACCGACAGTTGTTAAAATTATTCCAGTGGCAGCTCATTATATTGTTTACAAGCGTACAAAAGCATTTTGGTGAGAATTTTCCAGAAAAAAAGTTATTCGTGATGGAATTCAAGCGTGATAGTGTGATTTCTTTATATTTGGAAGACACTCCAGCATTTAAATGTGAATAAATCTTCTTGATCGAAACCCGCGTCGCAGTGGGCGAAAAATGGCTCGTAAGCTGAACATATCGTAATATTCCATTCGGCAAATATTGAAAAATGAGCTCGAGGTAAAGCCATTGAAATTCCAAAAAGTGCAAGAACTTAAACCGCAACAGAAAGAAAATAGACTCAAAAGGGCTACAGTGTTGCTCGGCCGAAAGTGGTGAACAGTCGAATTTGGGTTTCTCCGCTGAGAAAATATTGGTTGTCCAGCAGTTCGTGCAGTTGTCCAAATGATCGTGTTTACTTGCCAAAGAGGTCAGCTGAAAATGTGCACCTTCGGTAGGCCGCCATAACATCTGATGGTCTCTCTCCACTCGTATTAATCGACAGTGGGATTATAATAAATTCCGGATATTATCGCGAAAATATTCTGGAGGGCGTATAAAAGCTTTGGGCACGCAAACATTTTGGCTGCAGACCTCGGACATTCCAACAGGACTCAGCACCATCGCACTCAACACGCGCCACCCAAGAGGTTCCTCCTACAAATTTAGGTTTGTATTAGTATTAGTATTTTGGAAAGCAAGCACTAAAAAATACAAAAGTGTCGATCACCTCAAACAAGCGTTTCGCCGGGAACGGGCCAAAATATCGCAGAGCAACATTCGGGTAGCGTGTGACGGTTTCATTTGCCGTTTGAAGGTCATAATTCTTGCCAAAGGTGACCAATTCGAATAAATCTATCTGTATCCGAAATTTTTGTTTTCATTCAATAAAATTTAAAAAAATGTAAAAATTATGGCGTTTGACTTTGTTGCAGTTTTTTTGTCTCACCCTGTATGGTTGTGACTAAGAGCTGTAGTTGGATTTTAATGAAAGAGGATTACATTATTTTATTCAAGAAGAAATTCGTTAATGGTTTTTATGTGAGCCATAGAATGATGATATAAATGTTTGCAATATTTTTATGTTCTTTGTAGATTAATAAAATGCATTAAGAAATAAAATCTAAAGTTTGAATAGATAATAGATCAATATATCTATTTCCTACCTACGCCAAATACCAAATGTTGCGAAATTTATAACAAAATATTGGGATTCATTTGTATATGATCCTATAGAAAACTTTGTGGTCTACCAATCCGAAACTCTTTTAAGGTTTTGATCTATATATCGAGCGCTATAAAATCCATTCAAATCTTTTGATGACATACTAGAGGTAACATAAATGTCTGAGCAAAATTTCAGAACCATAGAATGCTTCCCTGAATTAATCTCCTTTTTTGGGGATCTCACCCCACTTCGCGAAGTAGCACTTGTCTTTTATTTTTAGTTCTACTTTCATAATCTGTTGAATGTTTCCTGTAATTACTTTATTTTTTTTAAATGTCCCACTCCCTCGGGACGGGTGGTTAATATTTAATCCAGTTGCCACTGGATAGTTCTATTTCCATTGGCCTGACATGCTATGTGTAGTATTAACCACAACTCTGTGGAGGTCATGTACCATCTTGGAAACCAAAATTTTATATTAACATTGAATTCCCATGCAACCGTAATTGTTTCATACCTCATTTCACTTCACATTTTTATATTAGTGCAATGACACATACTTTTTTTAATCACAACAAAACTAAAAATATGCACAACAACCACTGCAAAATATAATCGCATGGATATTTCCCGTTTATCTGGATGGTTTTTCCCTCCTGGTTTAATCTAGCTATAAAAAGTCACATATACATGTATGTTTATAAGACACTAGCTGAACCCGGCGCGCTTCGCTACTCCTTTCGCTTTTATGTGCATTCAACATTTTATAAACAAATATTTTGTAGTTTAAAAAAAATTAAACAAATTTAAGAATTTAAAGCAGGATCATGTTAATTCTTTTAGTTTTTTTACTGTTAGGCTATTTAGCCAAATTCTGTCATACCTTTCAATCTTTATTAAAGTTTGACATATATAGCGTGTTGGTACATCAAATACTATATCCAAATCTGTACCGATTTTAATATAATTTTACAAATTTATTTCCAGTTTTACATTGAATTAGGAGACATATAACATGTTTTGTGCATCAAAAATATGAACCGAAAATATATATGTGAGCTATATATCCAAATCTGAAACAAATAAATTTTAAGACTGAATTCCATTTCACATTCCAAATTTCATTGAAATTGGAGATACATAGCGTGTTTGATGCATCAAAAACATGAAATCGGCAGAAAATATATAAGGGAGCTATATCAAATCTGAAGCGATTTCAATGTAATTTGGCAAATAAATTTTAAGAGTAAATTCCATCACAAATTCCAAATTTGCTGGGAATGGGCCAAAATACCGCAGATCAACATTCCGGCAGCGTGTGACAGTTTCATTGGCCGCTTGAAGGCCATAATTCGTACCAAAGGTGACCAATTCCAAAAATTTAAACTTATTCTAAAATTTGACGCGATTTCCGACATTTTTTGCTTTCATTCAATAAATTTGAAAAAAATTTGAAAATTATGGCGTTTGACTTTGTTGTTTGATTTTGTAAATGAACTTCGTAATAAGCTCTACATATGAAGGAAAACGTCTTCGTGTAGCCTCCATATAAGGGGTTTAATTTGAGAGATATTTTTTTACGGATTTTTTTTGAAATTTTTGAAGTTCCTTCAAAATGGTAGCTACTTTTTATTTGTTACTTCCTCAAAATGTATAAAAGACTTATTTCCCTAACAAATCTCTCGCGCATAAGCACTTTTCTTTAGCAATAAAATATTTCATTGCTCCTTGATGGCCGATTTTTTAATCACCGCCTTAAGACATTTCACATTTTAGTACTCACCACCGGTTCATTGTCCCTCGAACATTTTAATTTCTGGATGTATGGATAGAATGCTTGCGGAACATTTCCCTGGTACCTTTCATGCAATCTCTTTACAAAGCTGCACTGATTGAAAGGAACACAAGTTCCTGGCGAATTATTTGGCATGCGGCATAATTCTTCTGTAAATATGATTTTTTTTTTAATATTTGTAAATTTTCGCACACAAAACTTTCTTTGTCACTTACGGGTTTTCACCGAACTTATTGTTACAGCAAAAATAACAACAACAACGACGACACTGCAATAAACCAGATTTATTAAAACATTCATGACTTTGGCCGTGAATTATTTGTTGTTTGTTGATCAATGTTGAGCGGTTAATGTTCACCGGTAGACTGTGCCGCTTGCGAACAGGTGGTTTTGTTTATAAGTGAGTAGTGGTGGGGCAAATCTCTCAGTTTACAAATTGTTTGAATTAATCTCCGCACACACGCACACAAACACACACATCTTTCTCCCTTAGCCAAAACCGGCACTCCTAACTTGACTTGCATTTTATTCAAATCGAACTGGTATTCTTTCTTCTCAAACAGATGAATGAAAATGAAGATGTAGAGGGAGTGAGATTGGTGTGATAGAAAATGTTCAATGTCGTTGGCCCATTGTTATTAATTCTTCTTGATTAAAATTTACATCAATCCTATTTAGAATCCTAATTTGTTTCTCGTTTTGTCAAAACGGTTACTCTTTAGTTTTCACATGAAGTTGTGTGGTGCGTTTTTAGAAAAAAAGTTATTCGTGATGAAATTCAAGCGTGATAGTGTGATTTCTTTATAATTGGCTGGAAAATCACAAGTGGCTGTCGTTAGAACACTCCAGCATTTAAATGCGAATAAATCTTTTGTGTCTCGTACCATCGCTCGTTAGCGTGATGCTGGTGACGTAGCCCGACGTCAAGGAAGTGGACGGTAGAAAACAGTAACATCAACAGAAATGGTTCGAAAAGTAAAGAAGGGACTTGATGGAAACCCTCGTCGCAGTGGCCGAAAGATGGCTAGTGAGCTGAACATATCGCAATATTCTATTTGGCAAATATTGAAAAATGAGCTCGGGGTAAAGCCATTGAAGTTTGAAATTGAAAGTGCAAGAACTTACACTGCTACAGAAAGAAAATAGACTCAAAAGAGCTAAAGAGTTGCTTCGCTTGGCCGAAAGTGGTGAACTGCCGAATTTGGCTTTCTCCGATGAGAAAACATTCGTTGTCCAGCAGTTTGTAAACAAACAACATGATCGTGTTTACTTGCCAAAGAGGTCAGCTGAAAATTTGCACCTTCGGTTGGCCCCCAGAACTCAAGCGCCGGCCATGTTGAGGGTGTGGGCCGCCATAACAGCATCAGAAAAAATGCCGAATATTATCGCAAAAATATTCTGGAGGGTGTATTAAAAAGCCTAGGGCACGCATACATTTTGGCCGCAGACCTTGGACATTCCAAAAGGACTCAGCACGCGTCACCCAAGAATGGTTACAAAATTAGGTTCCTCGCTTCATTTCCAGCACACAATGACCACGAAAATCTCCGGATATCAATCCGTTGGACTATTGTGTCGGGAGTATTTTGGAAAGCAATGGCAATAAAAAATACCAAAGTATCGATCACCTCAAGCAGACGTCTCGTCGGGAATGGACCAAAATTCCGCAGAGCAACGTTCGGGTAAAGCAAAATACTGCAGAGCAACATTCATTGGCCTTCTGAAGGCCATAATTCGTGCCAAAGGTGATCAATTCGAACGAATGTAAAGTTATTCTAAAATTTGATTCTATTTCCGACATTTTTGCTTTCATTCAATAAAATTAAAAAAAATGTGAAAATTATGGCGTTTGACTTTGTAGCAGGTTTTTTTTATCTCACCCTGTATAGCTACGTTGGAAAAGATCAGAATCAAATGTTATCAAAATCCAATTAAACTATTATTCCATATAGATTTATTGGTTCCTACGAAGATCCTTAATATGCCAGGTCTTGCAATCCCTCTAAAGTTTAGAGGGATTCGATTTAGAGAGGGAGAGAGAGAATTCTTCACTGGTAAAATTAAAAACAAAAATACCCTACGATGTTATTTATTATAAAACAAATTTATTTTCTTAATACTAATTACATACATATATTTAAATCTAAATTTTACTAAGTCCACCCATTTTAATTCACAATATTATGCGTGATCCATGGCATATAATAACTAACATGGGTATAGGCACCAGGTAACGTCGAAGTCAGCTTACACGCATTCCGACCAATTGCCACCACCCCATACTGGATGAAACGCCTTCGATTATTGTATGGAGCAAATTGTATCAACGGTCCACCGCTGTCACCGCGACATGTATCGCGTCCAAGCTCTTCGTCCCCAGCACACAAGTAACGAAATTTACTGGCATCAATCGAATAGGCTTCGCTGCATTTATTGATGGGGAGTTGTTTTATTTGCGCCTTAAGTAAAACATCCGAGGCATGGCCTAGAGGGGGAAATGGTATTTTTTCAAAATTGAGAGAACAAATATTTTGAGAATATTATTACATACCGTCTTCCATGTAGCCCCAACCAGCAATTAGGAAATCATCATCGGTCTGAGTCCACACAATATTGGAATAAATTGGCAGGCAAATGGGTTCAATGTGTTCTGGAGGGAATAAAAAAATATTAAAATTGTTAATTTCATACAAATGCAATGGAAAGGGATAGAGAGAGAGAGAGAGAGAGAGAGAGAAATAGAGAAAATACAACGAAGTTAAAGGACTTCAACTCTTGCTCTGTCACAGTACTTGTAAGAATACTATCAAGGCCCAAGCATTGTTTCCGAAGGAATGGGTCAATATTGTCCATTTCGTATCGGACCTACATAAATATGATATATAATATATTGCGACCTACCAGGTTTGGACTATATCAACTACTTCCTTCACTTTATATGACAGATGTGATAATTTTTAGATAATATTATTAGATTATTTAATATGTCCGTGAGGTACCAGATTTAGTCGGCCGAAGTATTAAATGTTTATATTCATGTACAGATAAGAAGTAAAAAAGTCAAGTCATACATATTTATACCCTCAGCTAATGTTCGATTATTTAGGTATATTTTGAATTCTGTTATCATTATTCAAATTTTTAATAATTTTCTATGTAGATTGGTAATTTTCTATGTAGCCCGAAGGAACGGGCTAATTTTGTCAATTTCGTATCTGGGCTTAATGAATATAATATAAATATTGCGACCTTCCAGGTTTAGACTATATCGAGTATTTTCATTTTATATGAGATACGTGATACTTTTTAGAAAATTTTGAAATGTGCCGGAGGTACGAGACCTTTGCTCTGTTCCACAACATGTAAGAATTTTTTAATTTTTTCGATTTTATAAAGGGAAGATCGGTTATCGTATTAAAAATTGTTCTTGCAGTTGTGGAACAGACCAATAGTTAATCGAAGTATTCCATTTTCACACTTCATCTAATACAGATAAAAATATTGACATGGGCAAAATGACAAGAAAATCGAACATTTATATCCAATTTTATTCGAGATCATAAATTCCACATTCATATGCGGTTTCTGGTTGAGAGAAATACCCTTGTCCAGCAGTTTGTAAACAAACAAAATGATCGTGTTTACTTGCCAAAGAGATCAGCTGGAAATGTGCACCTTCGGTTGACCACCAGAACTCAAGCGCCGGCCATGGTGATGGTGTGGACAGCCATAACAGCCGATGATCGCTTTCCGCTCGAATTAATCGACCGTGGTATCAGAATAAATGCCGAATATTATCGCGAAAATATTCTGGAGGGTGTATTAAAGCCTTGGGCACGCAAACATTTTGGCCCCAGACATTGGACATTCCAACAGGACTCAGCAACACCGCACTCAGCAACCCAAGAATGATTACAAAATGAGGTTCATCGCTCCATTTCCAGAGCACAATGGCCACCAAAATCTCCGAATACCAATCCGTTGGACTACTGTGCCTGGAGTATTTTGGAAAGCAAGGTTGCAAGGTCAAGCAATCGCTTCGCGGAAAAATTTCGAAAATTTTATGCTATTTTCGACAAAAATGTAAAAATTATAGCGCTTGACATTGTTGCAGCTTTTTTATCTCACCCTGTATTTAGATAAAGCAAGTTGTAAAGAGTTGCTGACTTATTTCGCAAGCTATGACAAATATAAGTATTGAAAATTATGACCTTTTGTGGGCGGGGATCCAGAAGGGTTGGCAGATATCTATCATCTTCACAACAGATCTTTCGTTGGCAAATATGTTTGGATGTGTGGAATTTGAAGAGGGATGCTTATGAAGAGGATGCTTATATTGCTGTTTTAGAGCGTTTTGTTTTCTTTTTTTAATTGAAGAAAGAAGTAATTTTCCGATTTCTACCACCACCAAGTCTGAATGGAATCGGAATGTTAATTTAGCGTTTTATGAGCTTCATGGATATTCGAAATATAGACCCTTTGTGGGGAGGTACCAGAAGGAGTGGACCGATATATCCCCTCTTCTCAGCAGATCATGTGTTAATAGAAATAATTCGATGTGTGAAATATGAAGACAACCAGATTCCTATTTCGCATTTTATAATCGTTTGGTTATTCAAAACCTTGATCCTTTTTGGGGGAGGTACCAGAAGGAATGGTTGGATTTCTACCATCTTTATAACAGATCTTGTGTTGATAGAAATATTGAGATGTGCCAGGGCTGAATGGAATCCAATGTTAATTTCGCGTTTTATGAGCTTCATGGATATTCAAAATTTAGACCCTTTTGTGGAGAAGGTACCAAAAGAAGTAAACCGATATATCATATTTACACCAGACCTGGGGTTATTAAAACTATTGAGATGTGTGAAATTTGAAGACAATCGAAGTCTTATTTCATATTTTATAAGAGCTTACTTTGGTTGAAATAATGGGGTGTGTGAAATATGAAGAGAATCGGATGCTTATTTCAGATTTTATAATCGTTTTAGTTATTCAAAACTTTGACCCTTTGAAAATCGGACTCTTATATCATGTTTTATAAGAATTATAATTATTCAAAATTTTGACCCTCTGTGGGGGATGTACTTGATGGATTGGATCGATATTGTCCATTTTCACACCTGACTCAGCACTGATATAAATATTAGGATTTGCCAAGTTGAAGAAACATCGAATTATAATTTCTCTTTTTGTGCAGTAAAATATTTTTTTGAAAATTACGACCTTTTGTGGAGGAAGTATCACTAGGAGTTGTCCGATATTGCCCATCTCCGAACTCGATCCAAGTTTGACTATTATATTACAATGTACGAAGCTTGGGCCAAATCGTATACTCCCTTCGAAAGTTATTGTGCGCACGAGCCAAACAGACGAACGGACACCCCTAGATCGATTCCAAATGTCCTGAAACGGATTTGGTTCAAAGAGACCTATGGTCTAAAACAGTAATTTCGATGAGGCACGTTTTGGCCGTATCAAATGATATATACTCTGTGTCGCCATATGATTGAGGGTATAAAAAATAATCATTGCTCTCTGCCAGAACCTGCAAGGATCTACCAGTTTTGTAATTTTTTTCGATAACAAATAGGAAAAACGGGTTATAGCAGTAAAATGTTTTTCTTGCAGATTCTGGAATGGAGCACGGTTTTTCTGAACCTGAAATTTACTCCGACAACCGATTTTCCTTTATGAGATCGAAACAATTAGTACTATTTATTAAGTGCAGGTTCTGGAAAGCAACTGCATATGGTATAACAACTCAAAAAATTTTTGTGGGAAAATGTGAAATGTCCGTCATTTCCACTGTTTTCATTTTATCGTGGTAGGGGGTATACAAAGTTCCTACCGATTAGTTCTTAATTGACTTCTTTGTTTTCCTACTCACTTTTAAATTCCACATTTCGATCCAATTTGATTAGGGCAATATCATTGACCCGTTCACGTCTATTGTATTCCGGATGCAATATAGTTGTTTCTACACCAAAATTTTCCGCCGGCGGGTTGCATTTCAATTTTGGTCCCATTTTCATACAATCTTCTTCGGTGGAGGTGTTATATTCGCCCAGGCGTACACCAATTCTGTTCGAAAAAAAGATAATATACACAATTATTAAAATGTAATACATTGTGTGTTCTCGAACGATAAATTCTGATTTTTTTTTTTTAAATTTATAAAGCAAAACATTTTAAAAATTGCGAAAATATAATCGTGTAGATTTTGAGTGGGAGCAAATTCAATGGTTTTCAATGTAAAATCCCCAGGAAATTATTTATATGTCATTGTCAACATTTTGAATTATTATTTCGAATTCCAAACGAAAATAATACAGAGAAATTCGGAGGTGTAAATTCTAATTTTGTAATCTAAATTTCTAATCAATTTTAAAACTGATAAATGTCGATAAATATTCAATATTATTCAAAATATCCAATAATTATCACTTACAATGGATATGCAATTCTCAAACAATGTGCTGCTGTCAGTACATAACGATTCGTTATCAATGAACCACCGCATCGGAATTCTTCACCCGATGGACCCTGATAAATCAACAGAGCCATCCATGGAAATTCGGCCAACATTGTGATATTACCGCCGGCAATGCGATTTCCATTATCTGTGCCACAGCGTTGGCCACTTAGGATATCGAAACCTATATGGGATAAATAATAGTGAAATTGAAACTGTACTATTTAATGGAGAATATTTTCAATACCTTCAACATTCAATTGACTATGAAAATCTTGCATGGGATTTAAATACAAGTTCAAACCATTTCCACTCCTCTCTTTAATTGGCGCCGTCACTATTGTCTCCGGTTCACAACAATAAAGTATCTGGAATTTACAGAAATTTACATTGTTATAACTTAACTTAGGGGTTATAAGTTTCTGAAATTAATAATTTGAAGAAATCCATTTCAGGACACCTGTTTCAATCCGACGTCGTCCAAAGTTCGTACATTATCAAACTTAGATTGAGATAGGAGTTAAACAATATCGATCCACTTCTTCTGGTACCTGCCACACAAAGGGATCAACAATGTTCTTCATCCGGCTTTTGTTCAAACTCTGTCACTTATAATATTTCTATCATTGCTAGGTCAATTTAGGACTATTCGTTCAATAGAGGATCAAATTTTTATACCCTACACCACAAGGTGATCAGGATATTATATCTTTGTGCAGTTGCTAGTAACAGGCAAAAGGAACCGAGATAGACTCATAGTTCCTTTTGATGATCTGCATAGAATCACATTCTGAGTCGATTTATGCATGTCCATCCGTCCGTCTGTCCATGTATTTTTGAAAACAAAGTACAGTTCGCATTTATTATCCGCTCCAGATGAAATTTTGCACAAATCATTTGTTTGGCCCTAGGACGAACTCTATTGAAATTGGAGATTATCGGTCAAAATTTAGATATAGCTCCCATATATATCTTCGTCCGATTCCCTTTTTATTGTGCACCAAACGTGTAATATCAGCCTGAATAGTATGGAATTTTGCACATACAACCGAATTGGACCTGAAAATAAGTATGCCAAATTTGATCGAAATCGGTTCAGATATAGCTATAGCTCCCATATATATTGTTCATCCGATTTGCTATTTTTGTCCTCCGTAGCCATAATATGCACTCTGTAACAACAATATTTGGGGAAATATATCAAATACAGCTCAGAAATACCTTTGCTAAATTTTATCGAGATCGGTTCAGATTTGGACATAGCTCCCATATATAACTTCGTCCGATTTACCTTTTATTGTGCACCAAGCGTCTAATATTTGTCCAAATGGGATGGAATTTGGCACTTACGACCGAATTGAGTCTAGAAGATAGTATGTCAAATTTGGTGAAGATCGGTTCAGATATAGCTATAGCTCCCATATATACTGTTCATCCGATTTGTCATATTTGTTACCCACAGCCGTAATATGCACTCCGTAATAACGATATTCAGGGAAATATATGAAATACAGCTCAGAAATACCTTTGCTAAATTTTATCGAGATTGGTTCAGATTTGGATATAGCTCCCATATATAACTTCGTCCGATTTACCTTTTATTGTGCACCAAGCGTCTAATATTTGTCCAAATGGGATGGAATTTGGCACTTACGACCGAATATCGTATCGTATATTCCCCATATAGCGGAACCTCCCTATATTCGGTATTCGATGATTTCAGATACATTTTTCAATGGAATTATCTAAAAATCCATATTAGAACTTCTTTCTAAGAAGAGACATGTCTGTATAGGTCCACGATATCGTATAGCCCACACACAACGCTACCCCTCGATATTCGATATTTTGACGATTTAAGGGACATTTTTCACTGGAATTGTTTCTTATTTCGTATTTGAATTTCCTAATAGGTACTATAGTGTATAACAGGAAATTGTCTATGCAGATCCAGGTCTTTGTATAGCCCCTAAACATCGGAACCTCCCCATATTCGGCATTTCGATCATTTTAGCCACTTTGTTCAAGGGAATTGTTTCAAATTTCGTATTTGAAGTTCCTAATGAGAACTACAGCCTGTGACAGAAAATTGTCTAAGCAGGTCTTCAATTTAATTTACCGATATATAGCCCCTAAATATCGGTACCTCGCTCTATTCGGTATTTTGATGATTTTTATTATTATTATTCACCGGAATTTTTTAAACTTGGTATTTGTACTTCGTAATAGGTACTATAGCCTGTGACATAAATTGTCTATGCAGGTCCACGTCTTCGTATAGCCCCCATATAACCGTACCTCCCAATATTCGATATTTTGATGATTTTAGCGTCATATTCACCGGAATTGTTTCAAATTACGTATTTAGAGTTCGTAATGGAAACTACAGTCTGAGACAGAAAATTGTCTATGCAGGTCCAGGTCTTCGTATAGGCCCCATATATCAGTACCTCCCTATATTCGGTATTTTTACGAGTTTAGGTACAAAACCCACCGAAATTGTTTGAGATGTCGTATTTGAAGTTCGTAATGGCTGCTACAGACTGTGACAGAAAATTGTCTATGCTGGTCCAGGTGTTCGCACAGCTCCGATATAACGGTACCTCCCTATATACGATATTTTGATGATTTTAGCTACATTATTCACCGCGTATTTCAAGTTTCAAAATTGAATATGGTAATGGCTTATGACAAACAATACCTATGTAGGTCCACGTCGTATAGACCCCAATATAACGGCTATATTGGGTATTTTTAAAATTTTAACAGAAATTTTTAAAGATTTTCTTTTTTGAAAATTTTCAAATTCGTTTCAAATGGTGGAGGGTATACTGCTTTTTAACTTGTTTTATTTTTTAATTACTTACCAAATTATCATCTGTTTTGGGACACTGTGCACGCTTTATATACTCCTGTATAGTTGGTGGTAAATTGCCACCGTATTTTATATCCCATTGCTGAAATAGTGAACATTTTGAATAAGGGACACAAAAACCACTGGAATTGAGCGGGGTGAGGCATGGTTCTTCTGCACCAAAAATAAAAACATAATATTCCATATTTTCAATTAATTTTTGGTTTAATATTAATGTTTGTAGTCAATTACATACCTTGAGATCTAGAATTAATTTCAGTTGTTTCTGGGGATTCTCTTGGAGCAACTGTCGTCTTCGGACTTGTATCATCTTCGTGTATCTAGAAAATTAATTATGTGGACTTATATTTATTTTAAATTAATATTGGATGGGTTGAAGAATGAATTTTCATGAGCTTCTTAAGAAATAAGTATTTTTAAGAAAATCTTTAATTGATTTCATTCCCAGCAGCATTACTAGAGATTTAACTTTAGTCATATACAGACAAACGTACTTACCCGTAATTGTAACATTAAGTGGTTCACCAAAAAATTCGCTTAACACAAAAATCGAAACTAGGAGGAAAGTCCTCTCCATTTATGCAATTTTTGTGGATTTGTTTATACCCTAACTACAGGTTATATTCCGTTTGTAACAATTCGAAATATACATTTAAGACCCCACAAAGTATATACAAGGTGAGATGAAAAAACTGCAACCAACTTCAGACTGTTGTCATTTCTAAGCCACCCGTCCGACAGCTGTTAAAATTATTCCAGTCACAGCTCAATCTATTGATTAAAAGCGTACAAAAGCATTTTTGTGAAAATTTTCCAGAAAAAAAAAGTTATTCGTGATGGAATTTGTATATTTGGCTGAAAACCAAAAGTGGCTATCGTTAGAGCACTCCAGAATCTAAATGTGAATAAATCTTTTGTGTCTCGTACCAACGCTCGTTACCGTGATACTGCGTACCCCGACGTCAAGGAAGTAGACGGAAGAAAACAGCAACATCAGCATAAATGGTTCGAAAAATGAAGAAGCGACTTGGTCGAAACCCGCGTCCCAGTGGCCGAAAAATGCCTCGTGAGCAGAACATATCGCAATATTCCATTCGGCAAATATTGAATAATTAGCTCAGGGTAAAGCCATTGAAATTCTAGAAGGTGTAAAAACTTACATCACAACAGAAAGAAAATAGACTTAAAAGAGCTAAAGAGTTGCCTCGATTGGCCGAAAGTTGTGAACTGCCGAATTTGGTTTTCTCCGACAAGAAAACATTCGTTGTCCAGCAGTTTGTAAACAAACTGAGGTCAGCTGAAAAAGAGGTCAGCTGAAAAAGAGGTCAGCTGAAAAATGTGCACCCTCGGTTGGCCACCAGATCTCAAGCGCCGGCCATGGTGATGATTTGGATTGCCATAACAGCCAATGGTCGCTCTCCGCTCGTATTAATCGCTGTGGCATCAGAATAAATGCCGAATATTATCGCGAAATTATTCTGAAGGGTGTATTAGAGCCTTGGGCACGCAAACCTTTTTGGCCGCAGACCTTGGACATTCCAACAGGACGCAGCATGCGCCACCAAAGAAAGGTTACAAAATGAGGTTCTTCGTTTCATTTCCAGCTCACAAAGGCCACCAAAATCTCCGGATACCAATCCGGAGTACTATTGTGTCTGGAGTATTTTGAAAAAGAAAGGTTGGGACTAAAAAATACCAAAGTGTCGATCATCTCAAGCAAGCGTTTCGCCGGGAATGGGCCTAAATACCGCAGAGCAAAATTCGGACAGCGTGTGACGGTTTCATTGGCTGTTTCATTGGAAAGGCCATAACTCTTGTCAAAGGTGTCCAATTTGAACGCAGCACGTGCCACCCAAGAATGGTTACAGAATGAGGTTCCTCGCTTCATTTCCAGTGCACAATAACCACCAAAATGTCCAGATACCAAGCTGTTGGACTATTGTGTCTAGAGTATTTTGGAAAGTAAGGTTGGCACTAAAAAATACCAAAGTGTCGATCACCTCAAGCAAGCGCTTCGCCGGGAATGGGCCAAATTACCGCAGAGCAAAATTCGGGCAGCGTGTGAAAGTTTCATTGAAGGTTTGAAGGCTATAATTCGTGCCAAAATGTGACCAATTCGAACAAAATCTAAACTTATTCTAAAATTTGATGCTATTTCCGACATTTTTAGCTTTCATCTAATAAAATAAAAAAAAAATAAAAATTATGGCGTTTGACTTTGTTGCAGTGTTTTTATCTCACCCTGTATTTGCATTTACAGTGGCTCACAAAATAATTCGTTTATTAAAAAAATTAATGTGGGATGTTTTCTATAAAAAAAATATTTAAGGGATTTCAGCCTCTTTTTCTAATAATAATTTTGAAAAATAATCAAGAAAATTTCAAACGTATGCTCTGTTCCAGGACCTAAAAGAATCTACTACTTTTGCTATTAATGTGTTTCTATTTTTTTTTTTCGATATAATAAATTAAAAATAGGTTATGGAAGTAGATATTTTTTACATTCTTGCTGTTCTGGAACAGAGTACTAATTTTATTTTTTCATTTTTTTTTTTTAATATTAGACGAATTTTTATTAACGTTGAATGAAATGTTTTATCGTTGAAACATAGATTTCTACAATTTTTTATCGTTTTAAAAATATTTTATTTTAATTTAATTTTTTTTTTTTTTTTTGAAAAAGTTGTCCAAATAATTTCGTCAAAATTACTCTGGCCTTACGTGATCTGTTATCCATTGCATATAATGAGAGACGTTGGCATAGATTCCCGGGACATTTCGTTCACCGCAATTCGAAACGCCAACCGATACCACACCGTACTGGACAAATCGAGACGAGCCATTGTAGATGTCGGTGTAACCCAGCGGCCCGCCCGAATCACCTTTACAGGTATCAACCAAATTTTTAGCTCCAGCACAGATGTGAGTACTATTTAGCTGATAGGTTAGGCCAAATGGTCTCAAATAATTTTGACATGTGGCAACATCAACGTGCGGTACTATGGCAACGCGCAGAACATCCGAAGATGCTCCTACAAATTTAAAAATAGTTATTTAGTCATTAAAATATTTTCAATTTTAGCATCAATACCAACCTGTTTCGGTTCTTCCCCAACCGGATATTACATATTGTTCATGTTCGAGTGAGCGCAGATTCTCATATATGGGCAAGCAAATTGGTTTGATGTGAACTTGAAATACACGATTTTTTGCAATTGGCTAAGGCTTGTTAAGAATATGAATAAAATTGGATACTTACCATCGGGCGCCACTTTCCGCTCTAAACGTAATAAGGCGATGTCATTGTAAACCGAACGATAGTTTTCATGCAGAATAAAGTCCTGAATGCCCACTTCAAGAGGCTCAGGGGCACATGTTGTCTTTGGTCCCAATTTAACGCAATCTATGGCAGTACTCTTTCGATGTTCTCCAAGGCGTACGTACATTCTAATTCAATTAATAAATTAAAAACAAAAAATAAAATTAAAAACAAATCCGACATCAGGTCATTTTTTGCTACAGAAAAAAATGCAAACCCCATGTCTGAGTTCACTTTTTTCTATAGAAAAAAGTCGGACCTCAGGTCTGAGGTCACTTTTTTCTATAGTGAAAAAATTCCGACCTCAGATCTGGGGTTACATTTAAAAAAAAAAATGCGACCTCAAATCTTAGGTTACTTTTTTCTATAGAAAAAAATCCGACCTTAGGTCTGAGGTCTTTTTTTCCTATAGAAAAAATCCGACCTCAGGTTTGAGGTCATTTTTTTCCTATAGAAAAAATCCGACCTTAGGTCTGAGGTCATTTTTTTCCTATAGAAAAAATCCGACCTCAGGTCTGAGGTCATTTTTTTCCTATAGAAAAAAAATCCGACCTCAGGTCTGAGGTCATTTTTTTCCTATAGTGAAAAAATCTGACCTCAGGTGTGAGGTCACTTTTTTCCTATAGAAAAAATCCGACCTCAGGTCTGAGGTCACTTTTTTCTGTAGTGAAATAATCCGACCTCAGGTCTGAGGTCACTTTTTTCTATAGTGAAAAAATCCGACCTCAGGTCTGAGGTCACCTTTTTCTATAGTGAAAAAATCCGATCTCAGGTTTGAGGTCACTTTTTTCCTATAGAAAAAAATCCGACCTCGGGTCTGAAGTCACTTTTTTCCTATAGAAAAAAATCTGACCTTAGGTCTGAGATCACTTTTTTCCTATAGATAATAATGCGACCTCAGGTCTGAGGTCTCTTTTTTCTATAGTGAAAAAATCCGACCTCAGGTCTGAGGTCACTTTTTTCCTATAGAAATAAATCCGACCTCAGGTCTGAGGTCACTTTCTTCTGTAGTGAAATAATCCGACCACAGGTCTGAGGTTTCTATAGTGAAAAAATCCGATCTCTGGTCTGAAATCACTTTTTTCTATAGTGAAAAAATCCGACCTCAGGTTTGAGATCACTTTTTTCTATAGTGAAAAAATCCGACCTCAGGTCTGTGGTCACTTTTTTCTATAGTGAAAAAATCCGACCTCAAGTCTGAGGTCACTTTTTTTCTAGAGTGAAAAAAAAGACATCAGGTCTAAGGTCACTTTTTTCTATAGTGAAAAAATCCGACCTCAGGTCTGAGGTCACATTTTTTCTATAGTGAAAAAATCTGACCTCAGGTCTGAGGTCATATTTTTCTTTAGTGAAAAAATCTGACCTCAGGTCTGAGGTCATTTTTTTCTTTAGTGAAAAAAGCCGACATCAGGTCTGAGGTCACTTTTTTTCTATAGAAAAAAATCCGACTTTAGGTCTGAGATCATTTTTTTTGCTATGGAAAAAAATCCTAACTCAATTCTGAGGTCACTTTTTCTATAGAAAATCGGACCTCAGGTCTGAGGTAACTTTTTTCTATAGAAAGTCGGACCACAGGTCTGAGGTCACTTTTTTCTTTAAAAAAATCCGACTTCAGGTCTGAGGTCACTTTTTTCTATAGAAAAAAATCCGACTTCGGGTCTGAGGTCACTTTTTTCTTTAGAAAAAAAATCCGACTTCAGGTCTGAGGTCACTTTTTTCTTTAGAAAAAAATCCGACTTCAGGTCTGAGGTCACTTTTTTCTTTAGAAAAAAATCCGACCTCAATTCTGAGGTTATTAATTTTTAATTGTTCAAAATTTTTCTCCTAAAAATAATTTAATATGGCTTTATACTCACATGCTCGATTCCCTTCCTCGGACGCAATGTGCAGCTGTCAGAACATGCTCTGTAGAAATGTTAAGCGAAAAAATTACAAGTTTTACAATAAAGTATTTATTGTTTATGAAACACATACGTTCACTTATCAGCGAACCCCCACACTTATACGGATCGCGTTCATCATCGTACACCAAAAGGGCCATCCATGGATAGCCCATTAATTTTGCCTCATAACCATATGTAACACGATTGGTGAGATAAATACCACATTTTTGTTTTTCCAGCAGGGACACACCATCCGGATTCAATTGGAGTTTTGATGGATCACAGCAGATATGAGCCTTGGACGAAAACGAAAATCAGTATTGGCTGGCCATTAAAATTTCAGAGATTTTCATTCTCCTTACCACTCCCCTAAAGGTACCGCAATGTAAACTTTGAATCTCCTCGCGTTCAGAGAATGTTATCACCCGACCACTTTCCCGTAGTTGGGCGAAAAAATCAAATGCCGGCTTACATGATTTGACCGGAACACATATGCCAGCCACATTATCGGTTGTTGTACATGGCGAGCCATATTCTGATGGAAATGAATACCAATTTTAGTATTTTGTTTTCAGTTGCAAGTATTTGTTACTCACCACATAAACCCTGTGATATCAAAGAGAGAATGATAAATATTCGATACTCTTTCCTCATTGCCTATCAGCTTTCAGTTTAAGATTGTAGTTTATTTATATTTTTAAATAATATCGTATTATTATAAGGTATAGATTTTTTAGGACCAAAAAACGGCACCAACCAATTCTAGCAACTGTCGATAGAAAAACACAAGTTAAAAAGTATCAGTCGGTCTTGCCGACAGATGTAGTATACCTCAGCCAATGTTCGATTATTTAAATATATTTTGACATCTGTTATGATTATTCAAATTGGTGGTTTTGAAGGAATGGGCCAATATTGTCCATTTCGTATCAAACCCAAATAAAGATGATATAAATATTGCAACCGCAGACTTTTTAAAAATGCTGTTTATCAGCCGTTATTGAAGGTCATAGATTAAAAAAACATTATTTAACAAGTAAAAAAGCTGTAAGTTCGGCCGGGCCGAACTTTAAATACGCACCACCATTCGGAACGAATTTGGCATTTCTCAAAAATGAATTTGGACATAAGCGGCCTTTCAACACATTATAGTGTTGTAGGATATCACATGATCGGCCCTGCACGACGAAAAGTACGTTCAGTTTTATATTTTTTTATGATCGTGACGTTTTTTACATTTTTTATGGATTTCATTTTATATTTTTAAAATATCGTAAATGTTGGATATTTTGTACAAATAGTTTTTTTCATATTTTTTAAAGATTGGGCATATTTATATTTTGTAAAAATGTATATATTTATTAAAGGTCACGGTTTGTTTATACCCTCCACCAAGTATGGAGGGTATATTAAGTTTGTCATTCCGTGTGTAACACCTCGAAATATACATTTTAGACCCCACATATTTTTGATCAGCATAAAATTCTATGTCGATTTATCAATGTCCGTTCGCCTGTCCGTCTATCCGTTTGTGGAAATCACTCTAGCTTCCGAACGAAATGAACTAAGTTGATAAAAATTTACTCAAATGTGTATTATGTCTGCAGGACTTTTGGTATTGAAAATGGGCTATGTAGATCCACGTCTTTGTATAGCCCCCATATAACTGAACCCCCCGATATTCGGTATTTTGATTTTAGCGACATTATTTACCGGAATTGTTTCAAATGTGGTATTTGAAGTTCGCAATGGATACTACAGCCTCAGACAGAAAATGAGTCATATAGGTCCACGTCTTCGCATAGCCCCTATATAACAGTACCCTCCGATATTCGGTATTTTGATGATTTTAGCGACATTATTTACCGGAATTGTTTCAATTTGAAGTTCGAAAAGGATGCTATAGTATAAGCCAGAAAATGAGCCACGTAGGTCCACGTCTTCGGTACCATATAACGGTAACCCCTGCTATTCTGTATTTTGATGATTTTAGCCACATTTTTTAATGAAATTTTCTGAAATTCCACACCAGGAGTCCCTTCTGAGTACTTTCCCCCTGAAAGAGAATTGTCTATATAGGTCAACGGTACCCCCCGATATTCGGTATTTTTATGATTTTAGCCACATTTTTCAAGGAGTTCTTTTTGAGCACTTTACCCCCTGAAAGAAAATAGCCTTTAGAGGTTCACGATATCGTATATGCCCCATATAATGGTACCCCCGATATTCGGTATTTTAGTCACATTTTCAACGGAATTATCTGAAAATCCACACAAGGAGTTCCTTGTGAGTGTTTTACCCACTGAAAGAGAATTGTCTATATAGGTCCAAAATATCGTATAAACCCCACCGATGTTCGGGGTTTTGATGATTTTAGCCACATTCTCTAATGAAATGGTCTGAAAATCCGCACAACGAGTTCCTTGTGAGTACTTTATTCATTGAAAGAGAGTTATCTATATAAGTCCACGATATCATATAGTCCACATATAACAGTACATTTTTCAATGGAATTGTCTGAAATTCTACACAAGGGGTTCTTTGTGAACACTTTACCCCTGACAGGGAGTTCTCTATAAAGGTCCATGATATCGTATGTCCCCCATATAACGGTAACCCCCGATATTCGGTATTTTAGCCACATTTTTAAGCGGAATTGTCTTAAATTCTATACAAGGAGTTATTTGTGAGTACTTTATCCCTAGACATAGATTTGTCTATATAGGTCCACAATATCGTTTATCCCCCCATATATCGGCACCTTCCGAGATTTTAACAGAATTTTTAATGGATGTTATTTTTATTTTTTGAAAATGTCCTAATTCGTTCCAAATGGTGGAGGGTATTCAAAGTTCGGCCCGGCCTTACTGCTTTTTTACTTGTTTTCTTTTACAGTATTTTTAAATATCGGATTTTTCATATTTTATTAAAGTCGTTTATTTTGAAGCCGTTTAAATTCAGAATTTCCGTATAAATATAAAAATTACTAAAAATAACTATGTTTATATCCAAGGAAATTCCAAGTTACGGAAAGTGCAAATGGGCAATTTCATTTAAAAGTTTTAGTCATATTTTCCACATGTGCTTCGTCTACGTCTGCCATTCAAGTGCTCACCTATATATTTTAGGACAAATTTAAATCTTTTTATTGGTTGAGGATAAAAATTCGCCATAAATATTTTCAATCGAAAATGCAATCGCTGACCACTTGAGACGTATTCAATACATTGTTTTCATGTTGATTGATACCTGTTTTATAAATACACACACAATTATGATATATTTCAAATATTTCGCATTTAAAGGTCATCAATTTCACATTAATTAAAATTTCATGAAAACAAATTTTAATGAATTAATTAGCTGTGTCACAATTTATGCACAAACATTTTTTATTTTTTCAAAATTCTCACAACAAAACAAATCGTTCACGTGTGTTTCCCCATCAGCACAAAGTCAATCATTTAAATTGGTTGTTTATGGATTCACAAAACAAAACAAAATAAATTGTTTTTTTTTTTATTTATTTTTTTTTTTTCTCAAAGTTCTTATAAAAATATTTCTATAATTTCTTCGTTTCAGTTCTTGACCGCTGAGTGTTGGACGAGAGACTACCGGTTTTAGTCACTGAACTTGCTTTTGTATATGCAAAGCCGGCACTTTCCGATGCGCTTGAATGCCTAACACGTTTCTCAGTGCTCGCAATAATGGCTGTATTTAATTTATCCAAATCCATTCACAGTTGCAAATCGCCGCTGAAACGGGTTATCAGACCAACTAAAAAAACCAAAGCTCTGTGGCAGTGGTGTTGATAAAAACAATATTTTGAGTTGAAAGGAAAGGAAGAGGCCAATATATATATTTTTATAATTTAAGAACATTTCCGTAAGGAAAAAATGGTTCCTCAGATGTTTATCGAAGTTTATGTGGTTTTCCGAAACCATTTTTAACCATTAGTGGAAATTCTAGAAATATGGGGAAATTCATTATCTTTGATTTATTATGGAAATACTAGAGGTGTTGAGACAAAAAAGCTTTCTATTAATATCTTCTTTTCTTTGAGATGGAAAATTATGAAAGATGGATGAGTAAATGACTTATAAACGAGGTAATAACGAAATAATGGTTTTATACCTCAACTCTCTTTAAAATCGATTTAGCGGTATCTGCCCGTTCCTCTGTCATGCTGGTTCTCGAAGGGAGTATCAATTCGGCATGTCGTATTTTTATTTATAACCAAACCTAGATCAAGGTCGACCTAAAACCTAATTCGATTGCAAAATATTCTTAAATAAAAAAGTAAATAAATAAAAAATAAATAAATAAAAAAAAAATAAATAAAAAATAAATAAATAAATAATAAATAAAATAAATAAATAATAAATAAAAAATAAATAAATAAATAAAAAAATAATAAATAAAAAATATCCTTAAATAAAAAATATTCTTAAATATTCAAAATTTTCTTAATTAATTTTTTTTCAGTTGTAATTTGAATTATTCCATTTGTAATTCTATTTTTGTAATTTTTTCTTCCTTTTTCAAATGGAACAATTCGAATTACAATTAGAATAATTCGATTTACAAATGGAATAAATCGAATTACAAATGGAATAATTTGAAATATAAATGGAATCATTCGAGTTACATTGAAAAATTCTCGAATTCCAATTCAAATAATTCGATTTACAAATGAAATAACTCGAATGACTCGAAATACAAATGGAATTCTCAAATTACAATAAAAATGTTTCGAATTACATGTGAACAAGTAAAAACGTATCAATCGGTTTTGCCGGAAGATGTATACCCCAGCCTTGAGTTATGATTATTTAAACTATTGACCTATTATGGGGGAGGTTCCGAGATAGTTGACCAATATTTACCTATTCGTAGCTGACCTAAGACTGATAAAAATATTACAACGTGCCAGATTTGGACTATTTTGACTACTTCCTATACTTTATGCAACTTCTGGAAAATGTGTAAATATGGGTGAGATAACAGTTATAACAGACCAAAGTATTCCATTTTCATTTAGATTTAGCAAGTTGTAAAGAATTGCTGGCTTGTTTCGCAAGTTATGACAGATACAGGGTGAGATAAAAAAAAAACCTGCAACCAACTTCAGACTGCTGTCATTTCTAAGCCACTCGTCCGACAGCTGTTAAAATTATTCTAGTGACAGCTCATTATATTGTTTACAAGCGTACAAAAGCATTTTGGTGAAAATTTTCCAGCAAAAATGTTATTCGTGATGGAATTCAAGCGTGATAGTGTGATTTTTTTATATTTGGCTGGAAAACTTCAAGTGGCTTTAACGAGCTCTCCAGCATTTAAATATGAATAAATCTTTTGAGTCTCGTACCATCGCTCGTTAACGTAATACCGGTAGGGTAGCCCGACGTCAAGGAAGTGGACGGAAGAGCAGAAATGCCTCGAAAAGTAAAAAAGCGATTTGATCGAAACCCACGTCGCCGATGGTTGCTCTCCGCTCGTTTGAATCGACCGTGGCATCAGAATAAATGCCGAATATTATCGCGAAAATATTCTGGATATTCTGGATATTAAAGCCTTGGGCACGCAAACATTTTGGCCGCAGACCTTGGGCATTCCAACAGGACTCAGCACCATCGCACTCAGCGAGGTTCCTCGCTTCATTTCCAGCGCACAATGGTCACCAAAATCTCCGGATACCAATCCGTTGGACTATTGTATCTGGAGTATTTCGGAAAACAAGGTTGGCACTAAAAAATACCAAAGTGTCGATCATCTCATGCAAACGCTTCGCCGGGATTGGGCCAAAATACCGCAGAGCAGTATTCGGGCAGCGTGTGACGGTTTCATTGAAGGCCAAAATTCGTGCCAACTGTGACCGATTCGAACAAATCTAAACTTATTCTAAAATTTGATGTTATTGTTGGAAATAACATTTCATAACATTAAACATTAACATTTCATTCAAAAAAGTAAAAATTATGGTGTTTGATTTTGTTGCAGATTTTTTTATCTCATCCTGTATAAGTATTGGAAATTGTGACCCTGTGTGGGTGAAGTACCAGAAGCGGTTGGCAGATGTATATCATCTTTGCAACATATATTGCGATAGTAAAAAAGTTTGGATCTGTGAAATTTGGAGAAAGTTGTATACCCATATCGCAGTCTTTGAGCGTTTTGGTTTTTTAAAATCTTGAACTCTATGTTGGGGAGGTACCAAAAGAAATGGTGCGATCTCTACCATCTTTATAACAGATATTGTGTTGATATAAATATTGAGATGTGCTAAGTCCGAATAGAATCGGATGTTAATTTCGTGTTTTATGAGCTTCATGAATAATTAAAATGTTTACCCTTTGTGGTGGGGTACCAGGAGGAGCGAACCGATATATCCCATCTTAACAGCAGATGGGTAGAATTAATGGGATGTGTGCAATATGAAGGAACCGAATGCTTATTTCGGATTTTATGATCGTTTTGGTTGTTCAAAATTTTGACCCCTTGTGGGGGAGATACCAGAAGGAATGGTCCAATCTCTACTATTATTACAACAGATCTTGTTTTGATAGAAATATTGAAATGTGCCAAGTCTGAATGAAATCGGATGTAAATTTCGTGTTTTATGACCTTCATGAATATTCAAAAATTTGACAATTTGTGGCGGAGGTACCAGAAGGAGTGGACCGATATATTCCATCTTCACGTCAGACCTTGGATTAATAAAAATATTGTGATGTGTGTAATTTGAAGACAGTCGGACTCTTACAACACATTCTATAAGAGTTGTAATTATTCAAAATTTTGACCATTTGTGGTACCACCAGGTATCCATTTTCGCACCTGACCTGATCATGCACATATTAGAATTTGCAAAGTTGTAGCAAAATAGTATTATCGTTTCTTTCTCTGTGCAATAAATTATTTTATTTGAAAATGTTGACATTTTGTGCTACTCCAGAAGGAGTAGACCGATATTGTCCATCTTCGAACTCGATCTATGTTTGATAATAATATTACGATATACCAAGCTTGGATTAAATCGAATACTCCCTTTGAGAGACAGACAAACGGATGGACATCGTTAGATCGACTCCAAATGTCCTGCAACGGATTTTGTCCAAAGAGACCTAGGGTCTAAAACAGTTATTTCGATGAGGTACGTTTTGACCGTATTAAATGATATATACCCTCTTTAGCCATATGGCTGAGGGTCTCAAAAAAAAAAAAAAAATAATAATTACACACAAATTTAGAGCTCTAGCTCTCTCCGCACTCTACACTGAGAGAATCATATTTGGGACTCTTGAGTAACATACAGGTATTTCAACGGCATTTTTTTTAATTAAACGCGCTCAAATTGTACTCTCGTGAAGACAAGTATTAAAATTTCGGTTCGGTCACCTTTATCGTCTCTTTTACTTTTTCTATTCTATTAAGCTTCGACCGAACTTAGCACTGTCTTAACTTGCTAATTCATGAATGAATTTGATAAGGTATTTTGGAATTCCCAAATGTTTGATGAATCAGATTTTCGCACCAATTAATTATACGACTTCGGGTTAATTGATTATCGAAGCAAACAAAACTGTTGAATTCATTAAATTGTTTCTCGGTGGTCATTTTAAAATTTCCTCGCTAACTTCGTTGAAAAAAATACAAGTCTTTATTTATTTATTTATTATTTTTTTTTTTTTTTAATTTGGCTTGTTTTGCGGGGAAGGCCTTTTTAAGTGATTTCATGCATAGAAGACCTTCCATATGATTCTTATACATAGATTACTGTCTATTTGTTTTCTATATATGTATAACTTCTACTTTAGGTTTCCACGAATATAATACCATTCATAGACCAAATACCAGAGATATTTAAAAAAATCCCCTAAATTATATTAAAATATAACCCCCTAATTTTATTGAAATACGAAAAAAAATCAAAAAACACATCAAAACATCAATTCGAAATATTATCCGTTATCCATTGCAGGTAATGTGAAACATTCGTATAAACATTCGGTGAGTCACCTTCACCGCACAAATTCACCCCAAATGCCACCACACCGAATTGTATGAAACGTGGATGGCCATTATACATGTCCTTATAGCCCAAGGGACCACCGGAATCACCATCACAGGAATCAACTAAATTTCGATTTCCAGCACAAATATGACTTTCATTCAATCGACTGCGCAGACGATATTTTTGTAGAACTGTCTGACATTCTGGCAGCTCAACAAATGGTATGACAGCGGCCATCAACACATCGGAAATGGCGGCTGGAAGGGAAAATAAAATAATAATTAATTGTAATATTTGATATGTTTGGCATAATTTACCCTTATCTGTACGTCCCCAACCAGAGATAACATATTCCGGATATCTTTTAGGCCTCAGCTCATCGTAAATAGGTAAACATATTGGTTTGATGTGTTCTACAAAAAAAAAAAAAACAATTTATATGGTTTTTAAAAATCTATAAGAGATTAGAAATGCATAAAGGACTACAATTTTCTAAGCGATCAGTAAATTATATCCCTTCAAGCATTCTAACATGATACGAAAAATCTTTCCAAAAATACATTACACCTCTCATTCTGGATATTCCCTATCAAAAATTAAAATATTGAAAAAACCAGCAAAGAAAGTCCTAAAGTCGGGCGGGCCGACTTTATGATACCCCACACCAATTTGCTAATTTGGTAGAGCTCCACATAACAATTAAAAGCTTTTATGGGAGAATTCAATCATACACGCTATGATTAGAATTATAATTTAAAGTTCAAAAGACTAAACATGCCGAAGCATTTGTATCTTTTAAATTCGGGCTTGTATTGCCTATTTGGTGCAAAATTAATTTGAAATCGGATAAAGATATATATGGGAGCTATATCCAAATCTGAACCGATCTCGATAAAATTTGGCAAAGATATTTCTGAGTTGTATTTGATATATTTCCCTGAATATCGTTGTTACGGAGTGCATATTATGGCTGTTTGTATCAAATACAACAAATCGGATGAACAATATATATGGGAGCTATAGCTATATCTGAACCGATCTTCACCAAATTTGGCATTCTAGCTTCTAGACTCAATTCGGTCGCATGTGCCAAATTCCATCCCATTTTGGCAAATATTAGACGTTTGGTGTACAATAAAAATAAATCGGACGCAGTTGTATATGGGACCTATATCCAAATCTGAACCGATCTCAATAAAATTTGGCAAATGTATTTCTGAGCTGCATTTGATATATTTCACCAAATATTGTTGTTACGGCTGCGGGGGACTAAAATAACAAATCGGATGAACAATATATATGGGAGCTATAGCTATATCTGAACCGATTTCGATCAAATTTGGCATACTAATTTTCAGGCCTAATTTGGTTGTATGTGCAAAATTCAATACTATTCGGGCTGATATTACACGTTTGGTGCACAATAAAGGGAAAATCGGACAAAGATATATATGGGAGCTATATCTAAATTTTCTCCAATTTCAATAGGGTTTGTCCTGGATCAAAAAACAAATGATTTGTGCAAAATGTCATCTGGATCGGGCAATAAATGCGACCTGCATTTTGGTCACAAGAATATATGGACGGATGGACAGACGGACTGACATGCATAAATCAACTCAGAAAGTGATTCTATGGAGATCCTCAGAAGTAACTATGGGTCTATCTTGCTTCCTTCTCTCCATGTTACAAACAAATGCACAAAGACATAATACCCTTTCCACTATATGATGTAGGCTATAACCAGAATTCGGTTTTGGAAAAAGACAGCACGTATAAATCTACTCCTCCGGCAATCTGCAAAAGGAAATTCCCCATCGTAATATTTGCACTAATATTAGGACAGACGTTGTGTACGATTTCGTCAACTGGCGCCCAATATAAATTGGGATGACTGCACTATCCTGGATGGAGAAAAGCGTCGAATGGAGTCGAGTTTTAAATTCAGCGCCAGGCCAGCAATGCCTTTTTTGAAACTCTTTATGAAAATCAGATCCGCATCTGAATGAACACTTAGATCATGTGTCAAATGTTCGTACTTTTTCCCTCGAGATTAGGAGGACTGTCACATAATAGTTCTTCAATTGTTTCATTTTCTTCCTATCCTCACACAGCCAGCATTAGTCGATGATAGAATTATCACATGTGGAATTTCTTCATTCGTTGTCCTAATGGCCTGTATATATCCCTATGATTATGCGTTACATTGGCCAAACTCTTTCATTGTACCAGTACTCTTTGGCTTTCTCCCTAAAGAGTAGTTCTAATGTTCTGATAAAATGACAAAGAGGATAAATTAAGATGTCGGCGACGTCAAGGTCTGTTGGCCGAGCTCATCCTTGCTAAGTATACGGTTTTCCCCTTGCTTCAATATTACAATGACCAGGAACCTATCAAAGGACAGCATCGAAATTGATTGAAGAAAATTTAAATTTAAGATCCAGCACCAGTTCAGTCAGTTATTCAATTCCATACGCCCCGCCATATGTATTACCCATGTTTGCTAAACTTCGAATGTCTTTACAGTAACGGGATTCCGTCAGTACATGCACCCAGTCCTCAGCCATCCCACATAAATCCGTCTGGGAAAGACCCCTCTTTTTAAAAAAGGCATTGAGCCGGTAAGAAACCAGTACTTAAGTCGAAGCGAAAGTCTGGCCGGTCCAGTAGGAACGTTACGTCACGAATAAATTCGTAGGCCTTAATATAATCAAAGTATATCAGAAAATTCTATCCGTCATATAGATACCCAAGTACTTAAACGTTTATGCATATCTCATGCCACGTTCAGCAGCTCGTATAAGCGGAGGTCGACTATGAGAATGTTTGCCTTTCAGCATCATCAACGATATCTTGTCATTCGCAACCTCAACGCCAACTCGATCACTGCACGCTTCAAGCATACGCACCATCTGCTAACCAAGAGTCTACAGCTCATGGCGAGTCTCACCTTAAACCATGAAGGACGCATGAGAGGATCCATCATGAGCTTCCAAATACAGTTTGAGATAAAAAAACTGCAACAAATCAAACGCGATAGTTTTTACATTGTTTTTTAATTTGATTGAATGAAAGCAAAAAATGGCGGTAAGACCATCAAATTTTGGAATAAGTTTAGATTTGTTCTAATTGGTCACCTTTGGCACGAATTATGGCCTTCAAACGGCCAATGAAACCGTCACACGCTGCCCGAAAGTTGCTCTGCGGTATCTTGGCCCATTCCCGGTGAAGCGCTTGCTTGAGGTGATCGACACTTTGGTATTTTTAAGTACCGACCTTGTTTTCCAAAATATTCAAGACACAATAGCCCAACGGCCGGAGATTTTGGTGGCCATTGTGCGCTGGAAATGAAGCGAAGAACCTCATTTTGTAACCATATTTGGGTGTCGCATGCTGAGTGTGATGGTGCCTGTCTGGAATGTCCAAGGTCTGAGGCCAAAATGTTTGCGTGCCCAAGGCTTTAATAAAACCTCCAGAATATTTTCGGGGTAATATTCGGCATTTATTCTAATGCCACGGTCGATTAATTAGACCATCGGCTGTTTTAGATCATTATTGACGAAGGTGCACATTTTCAGCTGACCTCTTTGGCAAGTAAACACGATCATTTTGTTATTTAAAACTGTTGGACAACGATTGTTTTCTCATCGGAGAAAACCAAATTCGGCAGTTCACCACTTTCGGCCAAGCGAAGCAAGTCTTTAGCTCTTTTGAGTCTATTTTTTTCTGTTGCGGTTTAAGTTCTTGCACTTTTTGGGATTTCAATGGCTTTATTTCAAATTTAGTATTTGAAGTTCGACATGGATATTACAGCCTTAGACAGAAAATTGTCTGTGCATTTCCACATCTTCGTATAGCCCCATATAACGGTACCTCCCGATATTCGGTATATTGATGAATTTAGCGACATTATTAACCGGAATTATTTCACATTAGGCATTTGATGTTCGTAATGGATATTCGTATGGATATACTACGACAGAAAATTGTCTATGCAGGTCCAGGTCTTCGTATAGGCCCCATATATCAGTACCTCCCTATATTCGGTATTTTGATAAGTTTACTTACAATATCCACCGAAATTGTTTGAGATGTGATATTTGAAGTTTGTAATGGATGCTACAGCCTGTGACAGAAAATTGTCTATGTTGGTCCAGGTCTTCGCACAGCTCCGATATAACGGTACCTCCCTATATACGATATTTTGATGATTTTAGCTATATGAATATGGTAATGGCTTATGACACACAATGCCTATGTAGGTCCACGTCGTGTAGACCCCAATATAACGGCTATATTCGGTCTTTTTAAAATTTTAAAAGAATTTTTAATGATTTTATTTTTTGAAAATTTCCAAATTCGTTCCCAATGGTGGAGGGTATCCAAAGTTCGGCCCGGCCGAACTTACTGCTTTTTAACTTGTTACTTTTCGAACCATTTCTGCTGTTGTTGCTGTTTTCTTTCGTCCACTTCCTTGACATCGGTCTACGCTACCAGTATCACAGTAACGAGCGATGGTACGAGACACAAAATATTTATTCACATCTAACCTCTGGAGTGCTCTAACGATAGCCACTTGTGGTTCTCCAGCCAAATATAAAGAAATCACACTATCACGCTTGAATTCCATTACGAATAACTTTTTTTCTGGAAAATTCTCACCAAAATGCTTTTGTACGCTTGTAAATAATATAATGAGCTGTCACTGGAATAATTGTATGAGCTGTCGGACGAGTTTTTTTTTTTCAGAAGTCTGAAGTTGTTTGCAGTTTTTTCATCTCACCCTGTATATAGGCTATATGTATTGTTCCCAACTTCCACTATTTAAATTATTATTCTTCACTTACTTTGATACTGAACTGCCCGCTTCAATCGCAGCAAGGCTATATCGTGTGAAAATCTTCGAAACGAATAATTTGGTATGGCCAATTCAATTTCAATATTTTCCACCGGTGGCGCACATACCAAACCATTTGGTAGGCAATCTCTTTCCGTACTAATGCGATGTTCACCCAAACGGACTAGATGTAAATCGGGTTTAAGACAATGGGCAGCTGTTAAAACATAACCTAAAAGAATACCAAAATACACACTCTAAATATTTAAAGATTTAAAATTTTTATTAAATACTCACGTTCACTTATCAAAGATCCGCCGCATTTATATGGATCTCGCGTATCATTGTAAACCAACAAAGCCATCCAGGGAAAGGAAAACAAGGCAGCCTCCACACCATTCGAAACTTTATTGCCAGTTAGAACGCCACATTGTTCTTGTTTTTTCAATATTTCCAAGCCGTCAGCATTCAATTGAATGTCCGTCGCGGCACAGCAGACATGGACCTTGGAAGAAATAATGTATTATTAATAAATATGTGTTTTTTTTTCTTAAGAAACGGTTAAACTTCTGGTTAAATATAGCTTCATTGGATTCTCCCACAACAAAACAAAGACTGAGAAAAGAACTGCATTATCGGAACATCTCGAAATAATGAATAGCACACAGCTGGCGCTGTAAATTCCCATAGATAACGAAATGCATTACCAGTTAAACTCAATATAACCTCTGACCCTTTCAGTATGTGTAGGTATGTTTTCATTTTTATAGGAAAGAAATTTTTATGGTTATGATATGTATTTTTTTCAGTGCCATTCTGAATAACTGGGCGTGTCAAATACACAAAAACTTTTTGCCAAGAGACGTTATTTTCCCGAAAACAGGAGCATAGAACAAAGGTTATTAGACCATTAACGCCCAGAACAGTATGAATTCGCTAAGACTTTGGCAGCCTTTAGGCTATATTAGCAAGTGAATCTGAGGACGAATATTGCTCCTTTCAACTTATTCTGCCCATAATAAAATATTAAGAAAAATAATATTATTAATTAAAAGTCATCATAAGGAAGTAGTTTTCACATTTGGAGATTTCCACCCTTTCGGACTTTCCATTACATTCCTGTCAGCGTATGATTTATCTTTTGACAATAAGAAAAGCGAATTTTTTAACTTTTCTTTTGACTCAAATGGAGTTGAAATTGTCCAAATTTTGTTTTCAGAAATTTACATTTCGATATCTCAGACAACTGATACCCTCTGCTTCTTCTTTTTTATACCCTCCACCATAGTATAGGAGGTATATTTAGTTTGTCATTCTAAAATTTATACTTCGAGGTGCCACAAAACACCTCGAAGTATAAATTTTAGATCCCGCAGAGTACAGGGTGAGATGAAAAAACTGCAACCAACTTCAGACTGCTTTCATTTCTAAGCCACTCGTCCGACAGCTGTTAAAATTATTCCACTGACAGTTCATTATATTGTCAACAAGCGTACAAAAGCGTGATAGTGTGATTTATTTATATTTGGCTGGAAAACCACAAGTGGCTCCATGGTGGCACTCCAATGGCACTCCAGCATTTAAATCTGAATAAATCTTTTGTGTCTCGTACCATCGCTCGTTACCTTGATACAGGTCGAGTATCTCGACGTCAAGGAAGTGGACGGAAGAAAACAGCACAAACATCAACAGAAATGGTTCGAAAGGTAAAGAAGCGACTTGGTCGAAACCCGCGTCGCAGTGGCCGAAAAATGGCTCGTGAGCTGAACATATCGCAATATTCCATTCAGCAAATATTGAAAAATGAGGTCGGGGTAAAGCCATTGAAATTCCAAAAAGTGCAAGAACTTACATCGCAACAGAAAGAAAATAGACTAAAAAGAGCTAAAGAGTTGCTTCGCTTGGCCGAAAGTGGTGAACTGCCGAATTTGGTTTTCTCCGATGAGAACTCATTCGTTGTCCAGCACTTTGTAAACAAACAAAATGATCGTGTTTACTTGCCAAAGAGGTCGACTAAAAACGTGCACCTTCGGTTGGCCGTCATAACAGCCGATGGTCGCTCTCCGCTCGTATTACTCGGCCGTGACATTAGAATAAATACCAAATATTATCGCTAAAATATTGTGGAGGGTGTATTAAAGCTTTGGGCATGCAAACATTTTGGCCGCAGACCTTGGACATTCCAACAGGACTCAAGAATGGTTAAAAAGTGAGCTTCCTTGCTTCATTTCCAGCGCACAATGGCCCCCAAAATCTCCGAATACCCATCCGTTGGGCAATTGTGTCTGGAGCATTTTGGAAAGCAAGGTTTGCAGTAAAAAATACCCAAGTGTCTATCACCTCAAGCAAGCGCTTCGCCAGGAATGGGCCAAAATACCGCAGAGCAACATTGGGGCAGCGTGTGACGGTTTCATTGGCCGTTTGAAGGCCATAATTCGTGCCAAAGGTGATCGATTCGAACAAAGCTAAACTTATTCTAAAATTTGATGCAATTTCCGACATTTTTTTGTTTTCATTCAATAAAATTTAAAAAAAAAAATAAAAATTATGGCGGTTGACTTTGCTGCAGTTTTTTATATCACCCTGTGTATTCTTGATTAGCACAAGATTCTATGTCGATTTAGAGAGGTCCTTCCTTCTGGGAAATCACTCTAGCTTCCTAACGAAATGAAGTAGGTTAAAAAAAATCTACTCAAATGTTTATTATATCTGCAGGTATTTTGGTATTGAAAATGGGCCGTGTAGATCCACGTTTTGGTATAACCCCTATATTATAATGGTACCTCCCTATGTTCGTGATTTAAGCGACATTATTCACCGGATATATCTCAAATTTGGAATTTGAAGTTCGTAAGGGATACTACAGTCTATGAACAAAAATTGTCTGTGCAGGTCCACGTCTTCGTATAGGGTATTTTTATGATTTTAGCGACATTGTTCGCCGGAATTGTTTCAAAATTGGTATTTTAAGCTCGTAATGTATAAAATAGAAAGTTCCCCTTTTCTCGGAATTTTGATGATATTAGCGATATTATTCACCAGAACTGTTTCAAATTTCGTATATAAAATAATAAATACCGAATATAGGGAGGTACTGATACATGGGGCATATATGAAGACCTGGACCTGCATATACAATTTTCTGTCATAGACTGTAGTTCCCATTACAAACTCTTAATACGAAATTTGAAACAGCTCCGATGAATAATGTCGCTAAAATTATAAAAATACCGAATATTGGGAAGTACCGTTATATGGAGACTATACGAATACGTGAGTCCGCACACACATTTTTTTGTCATAGAATGTAGTATCCATTACGAACTTCAAATACGAAATTTGATGCAATTCTGGTGAATAATGTCGCGAAAATGTGCTTGAAAATCATCAAAATACTAAATATCGGGGGGCACCATTGTCTTGGGGCTATACAATATCGTGGACCTAAGTAGATAATTCTCTTTCATGGGATAAAGTACTCACAGAGAGCTCCTTGTGTAGAATTTCAGATAATTACATTTAAAAATGTGGCTAAAATCATCAAAGTATCGAATATCGGGTGGTACAGTTATATGAGGGATATACGATATCGTGGACCTATATAGGCAACACTCTTCCCGGGGTAAAGTACTCAGAAATAACTACTTTTGTGGATTTTCAGACAATTTCATTAAGAGTTTTGACAACAATCATCAAAGTACCGAATATCGGGGGGCACCATTGTATGGGGGCTATACAATATCGTGGACCGTTATAGCCCATCTTCGAACTTGACCTGCCTTCAAACAAAAGTCTGATCTGGACAAAGTTTTAGCTTCCTATCTTAATTCGTTTTGACTCTAGTGTGATAACAACAGTACCGAATATCGGGGGGCACCATTGTATGGGGGCTATATGATATCGTGGACCGATATAGCCCATCTCCGAACTTGACCTGCCTGCAGACAAAAGGCTGATATGTACAAAGTTTTAGCTTCCTATCTTAATTCGTTTGACTCTAGCGTAATTACAACAGACGGACGGGGCTAAATTAAATTTTTCGCTGTTGGCTCTAAAATTAAAATTATTATTTCGATGAGTTTCGAACGGAATGACGAACTTAATATACCTTCCGTTATATGTATGATGGAGGGTATACGAATCTGAATACTAAACAAATTTGATCAATATATATTTCTCACATAACCAAAAATCTTTTGGTTTGACATTTCTCATAACTGTTTAGCTGTTATACGGCGAATTCAAATATCGACGCTCATTTCCAACAACTGTATACTTACCGTATTCGATATGGTTCCACAAAAGAATTTTTGTAAATTGGCAACCTCGTCCGCCGATAGTTTACGATTTTCCGCCTTTGCTCTGAGAAACGTTTCATAAATTGGCCGGCAAGATTTCACCGGCATACAGTGGCCAGTTTGGCGATTCGGTAACGTACACTCACTTGCATATTGCTCTGATGATGAAAAACGAAAAATATATATGTTTCAGGTTCAACTTCATAATGCATTTCTTATTTGGTTTTCCAATTAATTTCCTATCACACTTACGCCCCACTGCTGTGCAAGCAAAAAATGCACTGACCACAATTAAAAGAAAACAACACGATGTGCGGAACATGCTTTGTTTGATTTTTGCAACGATTCAGCAATCAATGTTCTATTCCCAATCCCATCCAAACAACAACTGAGCTGGTCGAACAAGATTCGTTGGATTATTTATTGATCGTTTAAACGATTCCAGCGACTTGAAAAATGAGAGAAAGAGAAAAAGACGTCGACTTGAAAACAATTTTATGATAGGGCGATCGAAGTAGTAGTAGGAAATCCCGATGGTAATGTAATGTGTTAAATAATATACATACATGTATAAAATAGAACATGCATACGAAGATATATTTTTCGAAATCATAATATTGAATATTGTGGCGTTTTGTTTGAATAAAGGCTTCCTAATTGATCTCTTATAAAGCAATGGGTTTTATTTCAATACTAGATTTCGGCGTATCTCACAGTCGTGTTAAAACCTACTAGTAACGATTTAATTGCCCTTTGCTGTGGCCAAACTACTTTGCCACCTGCGTAACCTTTTTAGATCTTTTGTTTTCATATGGGTCAGGCATCAGGTTGATAATGCAAATTCGAACCGAATATATATCGAGCTTGAATACAAATACACCCGGATTTTACCATTGAGGCAGGACTTATGTAATGTAAAACAAGTAAAAAAGCTGTAAGTTCGGCCGGGACGAACTTTGAATACCCTCCACCATTAGGAACGAATTTGGCAATTCTCAAAAACAATAAAATCCGTTAAAAATTCTGTTAAAATCTTAAAAATACCGAATGTAGCTATTTCATTAGGGTCTATACGACGACACGAACCTGCGTAGGTAACATTTGTCATAAGCCATTACATTATTCAAATGCGAAACTTAAAAAAAATCGGTTATAATGTCGCTAAAATCATGAAAATACCGAAAATCTGGGATGTACTGTTATATGGGGGATATACGAAGACGTGGACCTGCACATACAATTGTCTGTCTTAGGCTATAGTATCCATTGCGAACTTTAAATACCAAGTTTAAAACAATTTCGGTGAATAAATTCGCTAAAATCACCAAAATACCGAATATATGGGGGCTATACCAAAACGTCGACCTACATGGCCCATTTTCAATACCAAAAGTCCTGCAGACATAACATACATTTGAGCAAAATGTTATCAATCTACTTTAATTCGTTCGGAAGCTAGAGTGATTTCCATAGACGGACGGACATCGCTAAATCGACATAGAATTTTATGCTGACCAAGAATATATATATACTTTGTGGGGTCTAAAATGTGTATTTCGAGGTGTTACAAACGGAATGACAAACTTTATATACCCTCCATACTATGGTGGAGGGTATAACAATTAAAAAAGCAACTAAGTTCGGCCGACCCGAACTTTTTATAACCTCCACCATTTGGAAGAAACTTGAAAATTTTCAAAAAAATTTCCGTTGAAATCTAAGCCGATTTATGCATGTCAGTCCGTCCTTCTGTCCATGTATTTTTGTGAACAAAATGCAGGTCGCATTTATTATCCGATTGAGATGAAATTTTGCAAACAATATATGTTTGACCCATAGACGAACCCTATTGGAATTGTTGAGAATCAGTTCAAATTTAGATATAGCTCCCATATATATCTTCAACCGATTTCGGTCAATAGCACCAAATGGCCATTATCAATCCAAATGACCTTTGACCAAATGATATTTTGGCACATCCGACCGAATTCAGTCTAGATGACCTCAAGGGAGGACTTCTTCCCAATGCAGAACTCCAAACTAGGTGCTCTTCCCTTGAACACAAGAAGGTCTTCATCAATAGATGACCTCATACGTCTTCTTCTTCTAGAAGACATCATACGAGGTCTTCTTCTATAAAAGACTCTTAGTCAGGACTTCACCTTTAGAAGTCCTCAACGCGGTGTTCCCCTCTTAAAGACCTCAAAGGAGGTCTTTCCCTTTAGAAAATCTCAAAACAGGTCTTCCTTTTGTCCTCAAAGGAGGTCTTCCCCTTTAGACGTCCTAAAGGAAGTCCTCTCCTCTACAGACCTAAAAGGAGGTTTTCTCCTCTGGAGACCTTAAAAGAGGTATTCTTCATCAAAGTACATCAAATAGGTTCAGATCCAATTTTGGGTTTAAGTCCTTCACATGCGTAATATGTACTCCACAGAATGAAATAGGTTCAGATATAGCAATAGCTCTCATATATATGTTTTTACCGATTTGGGGTTTAAAGTCCCTCACAGGCGTAATATGAACTCGACAACAATGATATTTGATACCGGGCGTCAGATACTGCTCGAAAATACCTCTGCCAAATTTTATCGAGATCGAATCAGATTTTTATATAGCTTTAATATACATCTTCATCGGATTTTGCGGTTATTGCTCACCATAAATGTAACATCCCAAATTGTATTGATTTTTTGTATATTCAACTGAATTTCACCATTTGGTGAAACTCGGTCCAGTATATCTATTGCTCCCTAGTTGGTATGATCTACTTATTTAAATTCCCAATATAAACTTCTTGGTACGGGTGGTGTAGGACATCATATAGTCGGCTCCACCCGACTTTAGACCTTTCCCTACTGATTCAGACATAGCAATAATATTGGAATTTGCAAAGTTTGCACCAAATTGGATAATCTGTTCTTGGTCTATACGGTAAATTACTTTTTGTGAAAATGTTGACCTTTTGTGGGGAAGGTGCCAGAAGGAGTAGACCGAATTCTGAACTCTCTCTAATTTTGATAATAATATTACGATGTACCAAGTTTGGATCAAATGGGATACTCCCAGTCAGACGGACGAACACCCCTAGAACGACTCCAAATGTCCTGAAACGGATTTAGTCCAAAGAGACCTAGGTTCTAAAACCGTTATTTCGATGAGGCACGTTTTGGCCCTATCAAATGATATATAGTCATATGGCTGAGGGTGTAACAACTTGTTAAAAATATGACTTCATTGCATCCGCACGGAATTGTTATTCATAATTGGGCTGAATAGTTTTTACTTTCTATTTCACCACTTGGCATCAACTCTCGTTCTATGAAAATATGAAATGATACATTTTATAAAGGATAGATGTGTCTCAAATAGAAAAACTTATAAAAAAATATTTATCTTTCATTTTTTAATAGAACAGCCACTGGTCAAATTTAAAACGAGGGTTGGCGCCATCTATTGTTTGTACACACGCACACGCTAATTTTACTCGACGGTGGTTCGTGTCTTGAAAAGCATTGTCCGACGTTTGTTACCCACATTAAGTCTGTATAATTGTTTATACCTAGTCATTCATTAGTCATTCCGTTTGTAATACCTCGAAATATAAATTTTAAACCACACAAAGTATATATATATATATACTTGATGAGCATAAAATTAAAATAAATTAGCGATGTACGTCAGTATGTCTGTCCATCTGTGGAAACCACATAAGCTTTCGAACGAAATGAAGTAGGTTGATAAAATTTTACTCAGATGTATGTTGGGTCTGCATGACTCTTGGTATTGAAAGTAGGCTATATAGCTCCACGTTTTGGTATAGCCCCGATTCCGAGAAATTTAAGGTTATTTACCCGTAATTGTTGTAATTTTGCAGCAAATGTTTCCATTATGAAAGAACTATCCTTGCATAAAACTGTCAATATAGTTCTAAGTTTTGATATATCTCTCATATAACTGTATCTTCAGTTATTCGGTATTTTAATGATTTGTGTAACAATTTTCCCCGGAAAGGTTTTAAATTTGGAATTTGAAGTTCCTAACGGGTACTACTTCGTATTTAAATATCGTAAAGGCCTATGACAAAAATTGCATATACAGGTCCACATCTTCGTATAGGCCCCGTATGGAGAGTTATATTCGGTATTTTTATGCTTTAGAAGTATTTTTCAATGAACGTTTTTAAAAATTTGCAAATTCCTTATAAATGGCAGAGGATATTCAAAGGTTCGCCAGGTCAAAAATTACTGCATCAAAGTAAAGTTCACAAAAAAATTGGCTACATCTGAATGCTCGTGTTTGTGGCAGGAAGTGACTTTTGGTATTATTAACCCAAAAGTAACGGTCTATTTGACCCGATGACCATCTAAAATGCTAGGCTTCTGCCCTGTACTAAAAACTAGAAAACAGAAGAAAACAGCAACATCAGCAGGAATGGTTCGAAAAATAAAGAAGCGACTTGATCGAAACCTGTGTCGCAGTGGCCGAAAAATGGCTCGTGAGCTGAACATATCGCAATATTCAATTCGGCAAATATTGAAAAATGAGCTCGGGGTAAAGCCATTGAAATTCCAAAAAGTACAAGAACTTACACCGCAACAGAAAGAAAATAGACTCAAACGAGCTAAAGAGTTGTTTCGCTTGGCCGAAAGTGGTGAACTGCCGAATTTGGTTTTCTCCGATGAGAAAATATTCGTCGTCCAGCAGTTTGTGAGTTCGTGTTTACTTGCCAAAGAGGCCAGCTGAAAATGTTGGCCAACAGAACTCAAGCGCCAGCCATGATGATGGTGTGGGCCGCCATAACAGCCGATGGTCGCTCTCCGCTCGTATTAATCGACCGTTTCATCAGAAAAAATGCCCAATATTATCGCGAAAATATTCTGGAGGGTGTATTAAAGCCTTGGGCACGCAAGCATTTGGCCGCAGACCTTGGACATTCCAACAGGACTCAGCACCATTGCACTCAGTACGCGCCACCCAAGAATGGTTACAAAATGAGATTCCTCTCTTCATTTTCAGCGCACAATGGCCACCAAAATATCCGAATACCAATCCGTTAGACTATTGTGTCTGGAGTGTTTTGGAAATCAAGGTTGGCACTAAAAAATACCAAAGTGTCGATCACCTCAAGCCGCAGCGCAACGGCCTTCATTGGCCGTTTGAAGGACATAATAAGTTCCAAAGGTGACCAATTCGAACAAATCTAAACTTATTCTAAAATTTGATACTATTTCCTACATTTTTTGCTTTCTTTCAATAAAATTTAAAAAAAATGTAAAAGTTATGGCGTTTGACTTTTTGCAGTTTTTTTTGGGTTATGATTGCGTCTTTAAGGGTGATTGTAAATTAATCTGGACGGACACACATAACTAAATCGACATAGGTCTGGGTTACAAATCTTTAGGCCAAATATTTTCAAACCAACTTATAAAAACA